GCAGTAGTCAAGAGATCACACCAAGTATTGCATTGGGCAGATTTGCTGCACAAGACCTCTTGTAAAGTGCTAAAGAGCAAACATGTAAGATGGTATTTTGAGGACTAAGGTGCACCTGACCCAAGCCCCGTGGTATTTTCCGTCACCTCATATGCTTGCAAAATCTGGACAAATATGGAAGACTGGAGAAGAATTGATGCCTTTGAACTACAGTGTTGACAAAGAATATTGACTATACCATTTGCTGCCAGAAGAATGAACAAATCTATTTTGGAACAAGTACAGCCGGTTTGCTCCTTAGAAGAGAGGATGAAATTCATGTACTTTGAAAATGTTATCAGGAAAGATCAGTGCCTAGAGAAGGACATCTTATTTGCTCAGTGGAAAAGAGGAAAACCATCAAACAAGAGTGGTTGACACTGTGGCAACAACATTGGGCTCAAACATAAGAAAGAAAGAATTTGAGGATGGTGACTGACCGGGCATTGTTGTACATCAGGTTGCTGTGAGTCAGAACCATCTTGGTGGCACCTCATGACAACCACCATGTTTTTCTGCTTTTTTCTGTCTCTGGATGGTTCCGTGAGGACTTTGATGATTGGGGCAGAGGCAGAAGACCTCAGCTCAGACTGGTCTGTTTTCCTGGTCAGTTTCTCCATAACCCTCAGGCCCTTCCTGTCAAAACAGACCCAGGAAGGTCAAGTCAGATGTGGCATCAGCCTCCCCCTGGTTCACCCAAGGCCACTACTTTGAGCTACCCATTCAGGGATGACATGACAGGGGTCACAGATATGAGCCCAGGTGGGGGACACTGAAGAAAGGCCTCCTGCCAGCCACAAGACAATAGGACATTGCACATTTTAAAAAAAAAAAAAAAGGAAAGAAAACTCTTCTTGGGAGTACATATGGCTTAGCACTTGGCTGGTAACCAAAGTTTACAGAGGTACCTCAGAAGAAAGACCTGCCAATCTAGTTCTGAAAAATCAGCCACTGAAAGCCCTGTGGAGGGAGCACAGTTGTCCCCTTGACATTCATGACTTGTGTCACTTTGTGTGGGGTTAGGGTTTCGGTGCTTGATAGATTTTACTTAAGTGGTTTCAAAAAAAAGGCTGGCCTCCAGTACTGCCCCAGCAACTTCATAACAACCGTCACTGGCCTTGGTCAGCACCCGGCAGGAGGCCCTTCTCAAAGCCCTGGCCGGCGATGAGCTCATTCAATCCTCAGAGCATCTTCTGAGTTTGATCCTGATTGCATCATCCCACATTCGAAAACAAGGGGATTGGAAACTGAGAGAGCGAGGGACCGTGACTTTATCCTAGGTCACACTGTCAGGGTGAGACCACGGCCACTGAACTCAAGGACTGACTGTGTGGACAGGCGAGTCGCAGAGGGGCCCAAGGATGGGCAGTCCCTTGGGGACGTGAGCAACCAGCAGACCATGCCCAGTGACAGGGCAGCCAGATTTTGTAGCTGGGGCTGAAGACACACGATGGCTTCCTCTGAGGCTATTTTTAGGGCCTGGGGCAATGGGCTGTGACAGAAATAATCCATTTCAACCTTGGAGTGGATCCACTTTTGCTCTGGGGAAGGGCAAACTTGCTATCTCCTGGTCCATCGCCCAGTGGCTTATCCCAAACCCCAAGGCGACACCTCAGGCACCCTGAGGCTTGGCCACGGTGAGGAGGAGGCCCAACTGACCTTCCCTCACCCAGAACACTGAGCAGCATTTGTGGCTGCGTTCTGCAACCCCTTTACTGCTCTGACAGGCAATCCCTGCCGGAAGTTTCAGTATGCTGCTCGCAGGCGAGAATTGGACACCACAGGGCCCTGAGGTCTGGGGCTCTGGAATCCTTTCTAGCAGGGGCAGTTTCCCCACCTCCTCCTTGGACCCTCATGTCATCTGGACTAGGCGTGGATTTCTCCCGAGTCCACCCCACAACTCCTCCGAACCAGCCAGGAGTCATTGGTGCAGACTAATCCAGGTGCCCTCAGAAAATATGAGGGGGCTTCAAAAGTTCAAGGAAGAATGTAGAGTAAGAAGGTAATGGAGTTTTTTTGGTGAACTTTTTAAGACCTCCTCCCTCCCTTTATGGATAAGCACTGGACTGCTAGCCATAAGGTCAGTGGTTCAAACCCACCAACCTCTCCTTGGAAAACGGTTACTGTGAGTCGAAATAGACTTGATAGCACTTAACAACGTATACACCCTCAACGCTTCCCAAATTCAGACTGTAACACACCTTCGCCATCTGCATTATTGTCCATCCTGTCTTTGTTTCCTAAGGAGGAAACCACAGAAATACCACAAGGGGGACATGTTCAAGAACAGACGTTTATTTTCTCACCGCTCTTTAGGCTAAAAGTCCACATTAGGGTCTCATCATGCTCCTTCCTTCTGTGGGCCTTTCTCTTAGTTTCTGGTGTCTTCCTTGGAGTGTGTCAATCCCATGTCTGTATGTCTGTGTTTATTCTACTCTTTATAAAACTCGGAAGCAATTACAGTTGGGTCCTCATTAGCAAAGCAAACAAAGACCCCTGTTTCCAAACAGCATCACCTCCAAAGGTTGCTGCTGCTCTTGTACAACAGCATGAGACACTCGCCAATCCCACACCATCCTCACATCATGGCTGTGCACAGAGTGGTAGCCACTGCGTCAGTCCACCTCGCTGGGGGTCTTCCTCTTTATCGCCGACCCTCCACTTTACCAAGCGTGATATCCTTCTCCAGGGACGAGTCACTCCTGACAACATACCCAAAGTTAGAGAGATGAAGTCTCTCTGTTCTTGTTCCAGGAAGCATTCCACAGGTTTGGGGTTAGGATATCAACACATGTTTTGGGGTAAAAGACTTTCTGGGTGGGACCAGCAAGAGTATGAATACCTGGTTCTGAGATTTGGGGGACTGATCCAACACCTTTATTTAAAGTTCTGAAGGTAAGCCCTAGTTGAGGAGGTTCTCCTCCACACCCTACAATATCAGAATAAAGCCACTTCTCCTGTTTACTGCACACTGTGACCCTGGCTATTTGGCTCCCTCTCCAGGCCTTGGTGCCAGTTCTTCATCCAGAGGAGGGACAGAGTCCTGATGTCCTCCAACATGGATGGAGGGTTCTCTTGAGGGGCACTGGTGCTGCCACACCCTCGCCCAGCTCTGGCCAGTGACTAAATTGGGCACGGAGCGTGGGGACAACTTCTGGTCAGCAGGCACACACACACACACACACACACACACACACATGTTGTTAAGTGCCGTCGAGTTGATTCTGACCCATAGCAATCCTGAACTGGGTTTCCAAGGCTGTAAATCTTTACGGGAGCAGAAAGCCTCATCTTTCTCCTGCGGAGCAGCTGGTGGTTTTGAACTGCTGACCTTGCGTTTCACAGCCCAATTGGTAACCACTACGCTATCAGATCTCCTTGTATAAATCAGGTCTCCATATATATATATGTTGTTGTTGTTGTTGTTGAGTGCCATCAAGTCGGGTCCGACCCATAGCGACCCTGTACAGGGTTTCATATACATGTATATATGTATTTACCAGGATATTTTAGAAGTAATTATAAAATAAAAACTAAACATTTGAAACGCTGCTCTTGAGTTGCACTGGGGACCTCTCAGGTGCTCAGTAGCCCCCTGTGGAGAGCAGCTACCATCTTGGATATTCTGAAAGGTCTCTTGGACAAAGCAGGATTGGGATCTTTGTGGGAAGGAGCTGGGAATCCCCAGGGAAATGAAGAGGAGATGATCGGGCAGGACCGAGGCTTAATCCAAGCGGTGGTGACATACACAACCGTACCTGCATTTCCCCAAGAAGGTGTTGTTAGGGTCTCTGCTGTCATGAGAAGGGAACTTTGTATTGCCTCCTGAACTAGATTCAGACGGCTGCAGTGGACAGAGGCCCACACGGTACACAGGATTGCAGGGAGGCTTGGGCTGGCCATCTAGCCAGGACTGAGAGGAACATCAAGGCACTTTGGCTCGCTGGAACTTAGATCTTTCTCCTTTCACACGTCAGAGAGATGAGAGGAGGACCTTTGAAAGCTCTTCTTCCCACTCCCTTCTGAGCCTTTTCCCTTTTCTGTGAAACCTCCTGACATCTCCTCCCACACACTGGCCATTACTGGCCCTTCTCAGCCAGCAGGACCAATGGGCTCACTAGCCAGTGGTTGCCGTGGCAACCAGAGCTGGGCAGGTAGGAGCTGAATGGGTCCTCATCAGTCCCCCTCTGGAAACCATCTTGCCTAAGGCTAGCACAGCCCCCGGAGTTGGTTCCCCTCTGGACCCCATTCTTCCTAGCACCCTTGGGGACTTGGCACTTCCTATTTGGTGCCCAGAACAGAGCATGGTCTTTGGGGTCAGCCCTGTCAGAGTCACCTTGGGCTCATTCATCACTGGCCCTTGGTTGCCAGGTGGACTTGGCCCTCGTGGGGTCACAGGGTCCTGGCAGGCCCACCCTTTGGCCCCACCCCTAGGCCTGGTACAGGTGGGTTTAAGCAGGTCACTGCTGTGTGACCAAGTTTCGCGTGCCAGGTTGTATGTGCATGGAGATACGTGCATACGTGTGAACCCGTATCCTGGGTGCCCTCTGTAGGGCAAACAGAAGGCACCGTCTGAATGTGGGTTCTGGGTCTCCATGAGCTAGCTGAGGAAACAGAGGGGCCACTTGTCCTCTTGAACCTTCATGCCAACACCAGCCCCAGGGCCCCCCGGCTCCTGAAATGCCAACACGGCGGTCTAACTGAGGCAGGGAGGGGATACCCAGGAGCCCATTGTGGAAACCACAGAGCTAGTGCATAAGGTGTGACAGTAGTGATAGCAGCTTCTGACAAAACAGAGGGACAGCGGGGGTCCTTCCTCCAGCCCTGCTCCTGTGAGTCCGGCCTGTGCCTGCCGTCTTGCACCTGAGAGGGCCGAGGCTCCAAGCGCTTCAACTGCTTGTCCGCAGAGAGGCGCGGCCGGTCAGCTCACAAGGCACACCTCCCTTCTCTGTCCCCTCCAGAGCTGCCCTCCTCGGAGCACTTGAGTGTAGCAGATGCCACCTGGCTGGCCCTGAATGTGGTGTCTGGGGGTGGCAGCTTCTCCAGCTCCCAGCCCATCGGTGTGACCAAGATCGCCAAGTCAGTCATCGCCCCGCTGGCTGACCAGAACATCTCCGTGTTCATGTTATCCACCTACCAGACGGACTTCATCCTGGTGAGCCGCCTGCTGCCCCGTGTCCCTACCTCACCTCATGCACGTTCCCTCCCTCACAGCCCACACACATCCCCCCTGACACACCCACGTACTCTCACACACCTGGGCACACACACACCTGAGTACACTCACACACACACACCCGGTTCATACCTGGGTACACTCACACACACACACACACACACCCAGCCCACACCTGGGTACACACACACACACGTATACACACGTGGGTACACATGCACCTGGGTACACTCACACACACACACACCCAGCTCACACCTGGGTACACTCACACACACCTGGTTCACACCTGGGTACACACACACATGGGTACACATGCACCTGGGTACACTCACTCACATGCACATTTGGGTATACTCACATATACAGTCCCGGTACACACATACCTGGGTATGCTCAAATACACTCCTGGGTACACTCGTACACACACATCCAGGTTCACACACATAGCTGGATACTTATACACACACTGATACACTCACACACACCTGGGTACACTCACTCACACACTGTCAAGCCACTGACACCCACGCTGTCCCCACACACCCTTCTCACCCAGTGATGCAGTCACACACACAGTCCGCACCCACATGCCCATGTCTCCTGACACACTCAGCCCTGCGTTCAGCTTCTCCTGGCCTCACTACACAGCTATGTGGCCACTGTCCCCTCTCAGTCCAGAGAGAGGAGAAGGGTCCTTTGGGGCCCTTAGTCATTGTCCTCTCATTGTCCCGTTAGCCAGACCAGGGGTCAGTTTTGCCTGCAGCCAGGAAATAGGTGGGCACAGTGCCCACCACAGGCATGCTGGGGCCATGGACCAGTGCTCTACCTGGCAGCCTGTGTTCTTCCCACCATCATGAGGGGATGTAGGGACACAGACTTGCACCTCCTGGCCTTGGCATGGTGTCCCTGCTGTCCCCTGCTCTCTCCCCTTTCCCACCACCAGGAATGCTGCAGTCAAGAGTGGAATGGGGATGAAGCCCATTCATGTCCTCCACGTCCCATCCCCAGGTGCGTGAACGGGACCTGCCTTTTGTCACCCACACCTTGTCATCTGAGTTCACCATCCTGCGAGTTGTCAATGGGGAGACAGTGGCAGCTGATAACACCGGCATCACCAACGGCTTTGTGAAGCCCAAGATGGGTGAGTTGGGACATTTGTGCAGGCGCGTCACCTCATCCCCTGCCGGGACCATCTGGTTCTAAGGGGCTAGACCTGAGCCAGCGGTGAGGGACGGGGCTTCAGAGAAGCAATGACGCTGGCACCAAGTCCAGCTCTCAGCCTGCTGGGGGCAAGGCTGGAGCAGCTGCCCGGCCACCCAGTCCTCCCTCCTGGCTCCCTGGCTGTGGCCTCAACCGCCCTTTTGTCTTTGTGCTCTTACAGTCCAGAGACCGATCATCCACCCGCTGTCCAGCCCAAGCAACAGGTTCTGTGTCACCAGCCTGGACCCTGATACGCTGCCGGCTGTGGCCACCCTCCTCATGGACGTCATGTTCTACTCTAACGGGTAGGGCCACCCACTTGTGTCCCACAGCCTGAGGGGGACACACCTTCCTGTCCCAGGGACTGTCTGAGGGGGGAGACACCCCTCTGTCCCGGAGCTAGTCTGAGTGGGGAAGACTCAGTGTGAGGTAAAGCACATATACCACCTGGGGGTAATGAGGACAAACCCAGTCAGTTGAGGAGCCAGGACCCAGGTTGTGCCTTCAGAGACAACAGGTTTTACTGCAATTAGGCCAGTACTGACTGGAATGGGACCCAGGCCTGTGAGCTGGCATTGACTCCAGGCAGTGACCCCAGGGTGTGGGCAAACCCAGGACAGGGTCACTGGAGATGCTCACCCCTGGGAAGGGGCCAGAGCCTCTGAGGGAAACATAGGCTCAGGGTCTCCCAGCCAGACAGTGAGCTGGGTTGAGTGGGGTGGGCACAGAGTGGGACCCCGTCCCCTCACCAGCTCCTCTGGCCCCAGAGTGAAAGACTCGATGGCTGCCGGCGACGAACACGACCATGACCACATCCGCTTCTTCTCCTTCTCCCTGATCGAGGGCTACATCTCCCTGGTGATGGACGTGCAGACCCAGCAGAGGTGAGCTGCCTGGGAGCATCTCCTGAACCCCAGCCCTGCTGCTCAGAGGGTGAGGGCTGCTCTGAGGACTACCGTGGTGTGGTTGTCCCAAGTCTGAAAGCTTGAGCTGGAAAGAGGCATTGACTAGCTTCACAGGGTGCTTATCTCAAACCCCAGCCTTTCCTGCCCTCCCACCCCCAAGACAAGGAGGGCTGAGGGGAGCGAGGGGGACACAGTCCCTGGGGATATGGAGCCTGGCCAGCATGCCCTTCCTCCGCACTGCATCCTCAGGGCAGGGGTGCCCATGGGGGGTGCTAGCCAGGGAGGCATGGTTCACATCAACCCCTGGGGGTCTCTTCCTCCTCCTCAGGTTTCCTAGTAATTTGTTGTTCATGAGTGCGTCCGGGGAGCTCTGGAAGATGGTGCGGATCGGAGGCCAGCCCCTGGGATTCGGTGAGCCATTCAGGGTTCAATACTGGGCTGGAGCGGGCCCTCCACACAACACATCACTTCCTGGAAGCTGCCTTCTGGTTATAGGTGGGGAAACTGAGGCATAGAGAGCCTGGCATGCACGGGCCTCGGAAGACCAGAGTGTCAACTCCACTTTAGAATTGTTGTTAGCTGCCGTGGGTTGTGACCCCATATCCAGTGGGGTCCTGTGACATCCTCACAGTCAGTTGTGGATCCGATGGTTGAGATACCATAGGAATCTCATTGGCTGATATTCAGAAGTAGTTCTCCAGATCTTTGGTTCCAAGACACCTCTGAGTGGATTAGAACCTCCACCCAAGTGCCTTACCCATTTGCATTACCCAGAACTAAGTGTCGTCCCTGGTAGTCACGTAGCCTCACACTGAGGCCCTCCTGAGGGTCAGGGGAAAGGCCTGCTTGCTCACCCTCTGAAGTGCTGTAATATGTGCACTTAAGGTTCTTGGTTCAATCCCTGGACCAGTGTGTGTCTCAGGTCTATATCCATGGCACAGGTCAGGATCCTAGGCTTGTGGACATTAAGTAGCTGGAAGTGCTCACCAGTGTCCCCTCAGGTTCCCTGAACTCTGAGCCATATTTAGATCATTCTGAGCCTCGTCACGCATGTGGTGTGGGGGGCAGTAGAGAAACAGGATTCCATCATGCAGGCATATGGAGCAGAGTCTTGAATGCCAGAGTAATGGGTTCTTCAAGATTTTACTCTAAAGGCAGAGGGCTTGCCATTATAGAAGAAGGGTCACTGGGAAGCCCTGTGGAGAATGGATTTGAAAAGGCCCATAGGCAAGACACATGAAGAAAGTTACATGTGCTTATCTGTTTATCCTTGGGAACCCTGGTAGTGTAGTGGATTATGAGCTAGGCTGCTAACTGCAAGTTCCAATCCACCAGCCTCTCCACGGGAAAAAGATGAGGCTTTCTGCTCCCGTAAAGATTTACAGCCTTGAAAGCCCTTTACAACGACTGTAAATCAGAACCAACTCTGTGGAACATAACCACCATTTATCCTTAAAGTGGTGGAAAACAGTTTGACAGTTTATCAGAAAAGTGAACCATAGAATTAGCATATAACCCAGCAATTCCCCTCCAAGGGATGTGCCCCAAAGAATGGAAACAGGGACTCAAAAGGGTCCATGTGCGCCACTGTTCAGAGCGGCATGATTCATAGTCGCCAAAAGATGGGAGCATCTCAAGTGTCCACCAAGCGATGGATAAAGAAACTACAGAATATACATACATTGACTGATTCTTCCGCCATAAAGAAAAATTGATACTGGGATGACCTATGAAAACATTATGCTACATGAAAGAAGCCAGACACAAAAGGACACGTATCATGTGATCCCACTTCTGTGATGGAGTACTTGTTTAGTCCCGTCGGGTCAAATCTCGACCCTAGGCACAACAGAACAAAACACTCTTCAGTCCTGTGCCATCCTCACAGTTGTTGTGTTTGAGCCCACACTTTTGTTGTTAAGTACTGTTGACTCAGTTTGACTCATAGCGACCCTATATAGGGTTTCTAAGGAGCAGCTGGTAGGTTTGAACGGCCAAGCCTTAACAATTAGCAGCCTAGTGCTTATTCTGCAACACCATCTTAGGACTCCAAGTCCATAGTCAGGAGAGGCAACTGCATAAAACATGAGGTAAAATAGTGGTTACCAGGGACTGGAGGGCAGGGAGCAGGAGAAAGAGGAGACTGTCTTTATAGAGAATCCTGGCGTGGCTTTGTGTATTAATGTGCCAGACTGCAAAGCCCTTTGAACTGCAAGGTTGGTGGTTCAAGCTCATCAGCTGCTCTTTGGAAATCCTATACAGGGTCGCTATGGGTCGGAATCAACTCGACAGCACTTAACAACAGCAATAACAAAGAGCAGTTCTACAATCTCCTATGAGATCATGATGAGTTGGAATTGACGCAATGGCTGGAGGGAGGGGAGTGAGACGTTAAATTGCCTCTGCTTGGGGCGATGGAAAGGTTTCGGAGTCAGAGTGATAGTTGGACAATATGATGACTATAATGAATGGCCTTGTATTGAGTACTTTTAAGCGGTTCATATGGTTTGTGGATGGTCGTGTGTATAGAAAGTCCCAGAGTCCATGAGAAAACTTCAAGAGCTCATGCAGAGATTTAGCAAAGTTGCAAGATGCTAGGTCAGCAAAATACCCCATGGGTTTCCTAAAACCCAGCAATGAAAAATCTGATAGGGAAACAATTCCACTTACAAGAGCATCTGACAAAATAAAATATCTAGGAATAACCTCACCAAAGACATGAAGGAATGGCGCAGTGAAACTTACAAAGCACTGCTCAAAGAGATTAATGAAGACTTAAATAAATGGAAAGATCTTCCATGTTTTGGGGTTGGAATACTTAATATTGTTAATGCCAGTGCAAGCCAAAGCAATCTATAGATTCAGCCAATCCCAATTAAAATTCCTACATTCTCGTTTCCACAAATGGAAAAACCATTCCTCAACTTTGTATGGAATGGCAAAAGGCCCCAAATAGCTAAAGCAATAGTTGAAAGAGAACAAAATAGGAAAAGTCACACTTCATGATTTTTAAACATGTTATACAGCTACAATATTCAAAAGCCTATATAGACACTGAGACCAATAGAACAAAGTTGTTGTTGTTAAGTTCCACCAAATCAGTTCCTACTCATGGAGAACACTCTATGGGTTTCTGAGAAGTGGCTGGTGGGTTTCAGCCACCGACCTTGTGGTTAATAGTCTAGTGCTTATCCTTCAGCACCACACCGTCCAGAAATAAACCCACACATTTATGTCCAACTGACTTGACAAGGGTGCTAAGTCCGTTCGATGGGGAAAGAAGAGTTTCGTCAAGCAGTGATTTTAGGAAAATTGGATTTCCACATACAAAAAAATGAAAACAGACCCATGCCTCACACCATACACACGAACAAATTCAAAATTGATTAAGGACCTAAGTGTACGAATTAAAACCATAAATTCTTAGAAGAAAATGCAGGGGCAATTTTTTATCAATTGGGCCTCACTGTTTTGGGGGGGGAATCAGTAGATTATACCATAACAAAAGCACAACCAGCAAAAGATAAATGAATAGGACTTCAGAAAAATCTAGAGATTTCACCAAAAAGTGAAAAGACAAACTTGTGGCTGGGAGATTATATGTGGAAGCCATGAATCCGACAAGAATCTAACAACCTAAAGACAGGCATAAAATGGGCAAACGATTTAAATAGACTTTTTTACCAAAGAGGACCTTCAAATGGGCAAAGATGATGAGCATCATTAGCCATCAGAGAAACATCATTCAAAGTCCCAGCGACAGACTTTACACTCCCATTAGGATGGCTAAGAATTAAGATAACAAAAGAACAGAAAATAACAAATGTTAGCAAGAATATGAGAAATTGGAATCCTTGATCTTGGCTGGTGGGAATGCAGAATGGTGCAACCTTGTGGCAAAAAGTGAGGCATTTCCTCAAAACAACTAGAAATGTGATCCAGCAATTCCACTCCTAGGTAGATACCCAAAAGATTATTCTTTATAACCCTATTCTCAACAACCCAAAGGGGAAATCAACCTAAATTTAATCCACAGATGGAAGGACAAAACGTCCATTCATACAGTGGAATACTACTCAGCCAGTTGGAGAACTGAAGTCTCCATACACGCTACAGTATGGATGGAGCTGGAAGGCATTATGCTGAGTGTAATATGTCACTCACAAAATGACAAATGCTGTATGACCTCACTTATCTAAAAAGACACAATGTGAATATTTATTAGGACTGGGAAAGAGGGAGAAGAGAAGACTTCATGTTGATGGAGCATCATGTTGATGAAGGGGAGGGCTGCCTAGCAGGTTATTGGCATTGCTGTAAATTCGTTGGACACTAGTAAAAAAATTAAACTAGTGAAAGTTGTGTTACAAATGTGTTTCTAACGACAACAAAAAGAGAAACTTGTTGAGCCTACTTATGTTACAACCCCACACCTCGTGGGATTTGGCTCCTTGGTGTAGAGGTTTGGATCATGGTTTTGTGGGACATTGCAGTTAATTGGCCTAATAACGTGTTAAGTGCTTTTGTCCCACCTCCTAGTTCATTGCATAGTGCCTGTCTAGTGCTTATCCCAAGGGGGAATGACTATTGGTCGCAGTGAATGAATTATTTAATATTTGCAGGTAAATTCAAACATGAAGATTTCCATGTGCTTCCAATAGCCCTATAGTCATCTGAGGAGGCCTGGTGTGGCACTGTAGGATAAGCACTGGACTGCTAACGACAATGTTGGTGGTTCAAACCTACCAGCCACTCCTTGGAAGCCTGATATAGGGCGTTGTGAGTCGAAACCGACTCAGTGACTCTTGACAACAGCAGGGTAGCTGATTTGGGGGGTAGTGGGTGAGTCAGTGCTGGAATTCCAGGCCAGGCCACCTCCCACCCAGCCACAGCCGTCTGTCGGTGAAGCCTGCTTGTTGCTGGGATGCTGAGCAAGTTTCAGTGGAGTTTCCAGACTAAGACGAACTAGGAAGAAAGACCTGGTTATCTAGTTCTGAAAAATGAGTCACTGAAAATCCAGTGTACAACTGACCCGGGACCAGGACTGGGACCAGGTAGTGTTTTAGTCATTGTGCAGGGCCCACCATGAGGTGGAGTCCTTTCAAAGGCAGCTCAACGCAACATCCACTTCATCCAGACTTTGTTGTTGTTATATTATCATCCCCATTGAGTTGCTTCTAACTCGACCAAACTAATAGGATAGAATGCAGCCAAGGGCCAATGTGTACTGAGTGTCTGTCTGTTAGTAAACTGCCTCCAACCCCCTTTTTTTTTGTGACAAGCCTGGTCCTCAGATCGTGGAAGTCTTCCTGCAGTCAGAAGCCTTAAACGGTGCATTCAAACTAGGCAGGCCCCTGTGGCGGCTTGTGAACCCCCCCAGGAAACTCCAAGGCCGCCTGTCAGCTGGAACCAGGATGGGGCAGGAGGGCATTGTAGACCTCCTGCCTTGGAGGTCGAGCAGAGGAAGGAACACATGTTCCACCCACAGCCAAATGCCAGAGAAAGCTGCTCTTCTTGTTGGGTGCCTGCCCTTCTTATTGGGTGCCACAGAGCCGTTCAGCTCCCATGACCCCATGCATGACAGAACCCACCCTTGCCCAGTCATTTACATGATCACAGGCATGCTTGAGGGCACTGTTGAGTAAATCCATCACAGGAGATGAGGTGGTTTTCTTCATCTCCACCGGCCCTCTGCTTTACCAAACATGATGTCCTTTTCTAGCTGTTGGCTTTTCTTGGTGACATGCCCAAAGTAATCGAGTCAAATCTCACCAGTCTCGGATACTGCCTTTAAGACGGGGTTGCTGCCTGGTAGGGATCACTAGGTGGTATGGATGGGTAAGCACTCAGAAAGTTGCAGTTCACCCAGATGTATCTTGGAAGAACGTCCTGGCAATCTGACTTAGCAAAATCAGCCGTTGAAATCCCTGTAGAGCACAGTTCACCTCTGAGACATGAAGTCAGCACAAGCTGAAGTCGACTTGGTAGCAATTGGTTTGTTTTATTATTACTACTATTAATGGGTGGGAGAAAGATGAGGCTTTCTCTGCTCCCTTAAAGATTGGCAGCCTTGGAAATTCTGTACAGGGTCGCTTTGAGTCAGAACTGACTTCATAGCACCCATTCACCACCACCACCGTTGTAGGCAGGGGTTCTGACAGGAAGGCGTGACTTGTCAAGGTCATCCAGCTAGCACAGAGCAGGGCAGGACTGGGAAGAGGGCCTGAACATGGGCCTCCTCAGTTCACCCTGCTGACCACAGCACATCTGTGGAATAGTCGGGCAGAGGGTGAACTTAGTGGATGGAAGAGAGTGAATGGCAGGCCCGGGGAATTGACGAGGTTCCTGAGAACTGCTGACTAGAACCAGAAGGAAGGGGTAGATGAAGATCATGGGGCAGGGTGCCCAGGGAGTCAAAACCATCTGTTAGGCTAAGCAGCAAACCCTCTTCTTTCCCCAGACGAGTGCGGGATCGTGGCCCAGATCTCGGAACCCTTGGCTGCTGCAGACATCCCTGCCTACTATATCAGCACGTTCAAGTTTGACCATGCCCTGGTGAGTGTCCAGCCAAGGGCCTGGGCAGGGTCCTCCTGGGGTGGCAGGTACCTGACTAACAGGGACAACTCCCCACCCCTTACAGGTACCAGAAGAAAACATCAATGGCGTCATCAGCGCCCTGAAAGATAGTCAAGCCGGGAAACACTAGGAGGCCTGTCCTCTTCCAGACCCCGGGCTCTAGTATTTCCCCCCAGACTGGAACATCAGCCCCGGGGATCCCAGAGAAGAGGCTTCTGGGAGACTTCTGATTGCTGCCTCTGCTAGGCCTGGGGAGCATGCCAAGGCCGTCTCCCCATACCCCCTGCCTTCTGGAGCCCCCCAGACCTCCCTGAGAACTGCCTGCCTCTGTCCCCAAGCCCTACCCCTGAAATGGTTTCTGAGGCCCCCACCAGCAGGCAGATGCCAAAGGGGGCCGGCCCCTCCTGGGAGACTCAAGGCCGTCTCTCAGGTCACCTCGGGGGATGCTGTGTATGTGGAGCAGGAAGGCCCGCCCCTTCCAGGGCTGAACACAGCATGCTGGTCTTAGGTCCATCTGGTCTTAGGTCCATCTGCTCAGGGCCGGTTCCCAAATGGAGGCCAGTGCACCACCTTCAAGTCAGAGTGGCTGTGGAGGTGGGGTCAGAAGTTGGGGGTGTGGGGCACTTAGCACCTCGCCGCCAACCACAGGCCTGCGTCTGACTCTGAGCAGGACTGCCACCCTTCCCGTAAGCACGCAATCCGTGGGTGGGGGTCCCAGAAGGCCCAGCAGCTGGACTCCTGCACCCACCCACCCCACCCCACCCCGCTCCCTGGGCAGGCAGAGCCCCAGTTTCCCCATATGGGGTGTTCCCAGCATTCTGGGCCTGGGGTCTCTTAGAGAATCCTCACCTTTCCAACAGTTGATTAGACCAGCATAGGACCCCATTCCCCCCCACCCCACCCACCTCATCTACCTGCCCGCCCCTCCACCTGGGGTCCATGGGGCAGCTTAACTGAGCCTTAAAAAGAAAACCAGACCTTGTTTTCGTCTTTTATTCAGTGTATTTGTGCCCAGGTTGTTGTTGGCGGCTATTTTTGTGTCCAGGGGTTTGGGCCTGTTTGACTAATATCATCGGGGCCCAGAGGCTCTGGCGCTCTGTAAGCATGAGAATTGGAGTTGCCATGGGGCCTTGTCCTCTCTTAGAGTGGGACGCTCTTGTTCCGCATGAGGCCTGCCAGCCTGTCATGGTCCTCCCTATGCCTGGGGTGGGTGTGGAAACACCTAGGGCAGCTGCCCTCGCAGACTGGGGACAGTGCCCTGCCGGCTCGCCCTGGAAGCTTCCAGTCCTCTCTAGGGTTGCAGCTGGGTCCAGCCATTGCTGAGGCCTGGAGAGGGGCTTGCGTGAGGGGCACACTTGACTCTCAAAGCCCTGGAAGTAAACACTGGGGAACTGTGGATCAGACCCTCTCAGATACCCAGGCTCTTTTATTATTATTTTTTAATGAACTCATTTTGCACAAAACAACCAAAATTTGTAAGCTCTCTGCTGGTTTCCAAAGGGAGGTGGCCAGTAGAGGCAAGGCAGTGGCTATAGGCGGAGTCCCCATTTCCTCATCAGACCTCGGTTCTCTGAGGTACCTCTTGAAGCTCCTCCTGCACCTGACCTAACTGCTCCAGTAAATGCTCCACAGTCCCGAGCGCTAGAACCATGTCCCCAAGACCCCCTAGGACGCTATCTATTGTATACACATATAAATACCTGTGTTTTATGTTGATAAGATATATTGTGTACATAGCATATATACTTGAGCAATATATATGTTAATATATACCGTGTGTGTGAACGCGCGTGGACACAGGCCCCCCCCCTGTGTGTGTGTGTGTGGGTGTCGGAGCCCCCGCCCACCCCATGTCAGCCGGGCACGCACGTTTTGAGCCACCATATGTTTTTAATTCAAGTATATAGGCAATACAATGATTCGAGAAGCTAATTAGACTCCCTCATACTTGGTTTCCAAGAAAACCAAACCAGCAGCATAGGAGCCTGACCCGAGAAGGTGCTGAGGGCCTGTTGTGGGTTCAAATCCTGGTTCCCTATCCCGCTGCTTCCAGGCACCCTTGAAAGGTGGACCTAGCCCTTCCCTGCACCCGGACACCCTTGTTTTATTTGGGCGGGCTGTGGTACAAAGAGAGGAGTTGGAATTTCTTTCCGGCCTTCGGGAATGTTCTCATGTCTGAAGACCTAAGCCAGCTGGTACTTCAAACTCCCTGCTTGCTGTCCAAGGCTCCCTGCTCCCCCTCTCCCCTAGGATGGCTGGTTTTCTGCTGACTGCACACCTGATTTTTTTACCTGCAGGCTTAGAAATCTCAGGTTTTTTCCCTGGCTGCCTCTTGGAGCTCTGAGTGACCGAGCTGAGGAAAGCATGTTTGACTCCAGCGTTGGTGTCCAGGGTGGTTGGCCCTCCATCCCTGGCTGCTGTCTAAGGGTGTTTGCTGACTTGGCAGGCACCATGGTGGAACCTTCCTGTCCCCCACCCTCTTTGCTTCTGCCTGTGCGAAGCAGCCCAAGTGATTTCTCTCGTGTTCTGTGCGTGCCTGTGAGTAGGTTAGTCAATGGCGTGGTCTCCACAGCTCTTCTGGGAAGTGTGCGGTTTTCCCTGATGTTTATCTTTGTCCCTTGTGTCCTTGCTCACTGGGTATGAGAGTCTCTCCAGACCCCAGACTCCACTTCTGGAGGAGATGTGTGTTTCTTGATGGTGCTGGTGGTGAAGGTGGTCTAAGCCCACCAGCTGTTGCATGGGTCTCCTCCCCAGGGCCTCAGAGATGGGCCAGGCTAGGACTGGACTTTTCTTGGTTCTGATTGGGAAGGCAAATGGTGATCTTCGCAGTGGAGACTTCCCAGGAATTCAGCCTGAAGGAGTGAGGAGGTGGACCCTAGACTGGGGTGTCTGTGTGTGTGTCTGCTTAGAATGGCTCAGACAATGTAAACACCACCCCCACACCTTACCTGCCCAATCCCCCAGAGAGGTGAGAACTTTAGGGATGGAGACACACGAGGGAGAGAAAGAAGAGAGCAGTGACACCCCCCACCCCATTTATAAAGGTTTGCCTCTTTGGCTTAGCCTTCAACATGGGTCCCTGGAAGACACTCCTGCCCACCTCTGCACCCCCCCCCAGTCCTAACCAGCAAAGGCATTCTTAGTTCCACACTTTCTTCTCCAAAGGGGTCTCCAGAGCCCCCAGGGAGGCGTGCAGACGTGGCCCTGCTAAGCTCCCTCACCAAAATCCAGGTGCGCCCAGAGGCTACCAAACCACCAGCATTCTTTCCCACAACTCCTGGAAGCAGGCTCCCGGTGGGAGGGCGGGAGCCGGGTGGCCCGGGGCTGATGCACTCGGGCTGCATGGTCCAAGTGACCAGCTTGTTTCCCAGCAGAGGGATGCTTGACCCCTTTGAGGGGACAGAGAATACATTGGGGGTCAGACAACAGGAAGGGCTGGGCTCCAACCCAAGCCAAAGGTTCTATTTCTCTTAATAGATGGACCTGCATTTCCAGACTTTGGGAGTCCCCAGGCCATGTTTTTCTGAGTCTCTAGATCTGGGTATGGAGTGCGATGCAGCTCTGTGCAACCCCGAGCTGAGAGAGGGGTTTCCAGGCTGCTCCTAGAGATGATCCATGCCACTTCTGAGAGAAGTTCAGGGACTGTGGGGGGTGGGAAGATAACTTCCCAATACCTGTGCCCACTGTTAACCAGGACTTAAGGCTTCCTAGTGAGCAGCATTATGGGTGAATCTGAGGGATTCTCAACAATGAGAAGACATAAGCTTTGGCCTTTTTAAGTTTCCTAGATACTGTGCTGATATATCTTGAGGAGTTTGTGTCTGAAAGGGGCATAACCTTCCCCTTCAGAGAACGCTGCCAGGGATGGAAGCTAACCAAGATGGCTGACAGGCCTCGAGAGAGCTGGCTTTGAGGAGTGGCCAGCAGGTATCGAGGGCAATTGGACCCTGGCATAGCTGACTAAATACCTTTCCTTGTATCCTAGCCCAGATTTTTTTTTCTTCCCCCCCTTTCTATTTTTTTTTTCATTTTAATTTTCAAATTAGAGGCAGTAAATGGACAAGTTGGCTCAGTGGTCCCTCATGCGCCTCTTCAGTCTGGGAGGAAGCTGTGGGGGATATACCCTTTGGGGACGGTAGTCACACTCCTGTGAGGCCCTTCTTGAGAGCTGTTGGCTGAGGTTGATGGCCCCAAGAGGAGGCCTTGGATGGGGGCAGAGCCGGAGCCCTGGGTCCTGGAGCCCCTGATGGTGGAGGAGCCTATCATGTGAGAGGGCAGCAGTCTTTATATGTACACACGTATGTGTAAGCTTGAATGTGTGTTATACACCCGTGTGCAGAACCCAGGTCTGAGCTCTGAAATTAGCTCTTCATTATTTGGAGTCTGACCCAGGAGAGAGACTGATGGCCTCCCCCGTAGGCCTGCCAGCTCCTAGACCTCCAAATCCATGTGACCCTCCAGAATATGGAGACCTCCCCAAGCCGAGGGGGTGCGTGAGCACTCACTCCCCCGTTGGGTCAGCCTGGGAGTAGTTAGTAAAGGTGGGACCCCAAGGAGAGATTTTAAAACCAGGCCAGACTCAACCCAATAGAGTTTCCTTTCACTGCCTCAGTTTACCTATTCAGAAAGTAGCCCAGAAAGAGTGGAGCAGGGTTGGTTCCAAAACAGTAAGGGGCTAACAGCCAAGAAGCCCCCGGCCTCTTCTTGCTCTATGCCAAAATCATTTCCGTTATCCAGAGATGGGGGTGGGTGGGGTGCACGGGGGCGCCAAGGGGCCCCTGCCCTGCCCAGGGCCTCGCCTGACACATGTTCTCTGTGTCACCAGCAACACTCACATTTGTCCCAAGATCTGGGTGAAGGGGCAAGCCGGGCAGCCTACACCCCCACCCCCAGGAGCCCGCACGCTTGCGCTCTCTGGAAGAAACACAAGCCCCCTTGGGATTCATGTACTGTACAATGGAGAGAAAAAAAGTACCTAATGTTCCCCAAAACAGACAGTATATTTTGTACTTTGTAAAGTGTTAATTAAAATGAAAAGAAAAAAAAAATGAACGTGGCTCACTGCTGTGATTTTGTACGGATCTTTCTCTTCCCTTTCTCCTTGACCCAGAGGGTCAGGGAGGCCAACAACAATCCCGTCCAACACTCGGATTCAGAAGGGACTGTGCAACAAGCCGCCCCAAAACATAGTGACTGCACACACAGATTACGTATTTATGTAGATGGTTTCTGTGGGGCCAAAGTTCAGGAGTATGGCCGAACAATTCTGGCTTGGGGGTTGCTCTTGAGGTTGTGCCCCTGCAAGTCTTGACTAGGACTTGGGGGTCACTTCCGTCCAAGGTGGTTTCGTTCACGTGGCTGCCAAGTTGGGACTGGCTGTTGATGGCAAGTCTCAGTTTCTCTCCACACAAGTCTCCCCACAGGACTGCCTGAGTGTCCTTCCAATCTGGTGACTGGCTTCCATAAGAGCAAGGGATTTGAGGGGCCAAGCGACAAGCCAAAAGTAGTTTTATCCCCACCCAGTCTCGGAACCCACACTGTTGTCTGATTTCATGTGGAAGGGTGTGGAAACCAGAAGCCATTTGAGGCTAGTAAATATATTCACCATTCTTTCCCAGAGCTCTGGATGGAGGGGTCCCCAGAGCTGGGCAGAGGGGCCTTGCTGCAATAACAGTTGCATTCCCAGCCACCAGCCTTTCCCCCCATGTCGGGGCCCTGCCACAGAAGGGTCCCTGGATGTTAGAAGCCCAGGCAAGATACCCTGGGGGCAGAAAGGCACCATGTCCGGCATCTCATCACCACAAACTCATCAGATGGCCACTGGGTTGCCCAGGCACAAAAAGATAGGCTTGGGACCAGTCAGTTGTGGGTCTTTGACTCCCTGCATCCTGTTTCTGTGAAGGGCGGGGCTGAAGACCTGGACCTGTACTTGACCCTGTCAGACTCCCCCTCACAATAGACCCCCAGCCCACCCAAAGAAGCCCTGGAGAGGAAGGGAGGGCAGATGGGGCTGGAGTACACTCACCATCACCATGAATGGAACAACGTATAGCTGATATGAATGAAGGCTTTTCTTTCTGGGGTCTACAGACTGAAAGCCCCCCTTAGTCCCCCATTCCACTGGAGCCAGGACATCCATGGGGACCCTTGAGTGCCCCCAAGCTCAAGGCCTCCAGCCTCTGACCGCTCCTCACTCACATCCACTGGAACCCAGACAGTGCCTGGGGACCCAGAAAAATCAGCCATGGTCCCTGCGCCTTACCACAGGTAACATTGCTAAGGCCATCAAGTCAATTCTGACTCATAGCAACCCTATTTAGGGTTTCTGAGGCTGTAAGTCTTTCCGGGAGCAGAAAGTCTCATCTTTCTCAGCAGAGCAGCTGGTCTTTGTGGTTCATAACCTTGTGCTTAATCCCCCAGAGCCACACACATGTAGGGGACATGGTGGTGGTGGTGGTGAAATGTGAAGAGGATTTCTGATGCTGTGAATTTTCACAGGAACAGAAAACCTCATCTTTCTGGTAGATTGGAACTGCTGACCTTGTGGTTAGCTGCCCAGCTCATAACACACTACGTTACTGTGGGAACCCAGTGCAGTGAAACCAGACTGTTACAAGGTGTGCAATGCTATGATAGACCACAAGGGGGCGTGGGCTCCAGGAGGCGGGGATGACAGGACACTAGGACTGTGTTTGCTAAGATGAAAGGTCCAAGCAGCAAGCTAAGAAGGAACAGGTTGAGATGATGAAGTGAGGAGGGGTAGGGAGATGAGCTGAGGTCCAAGGTGGGTACGTTGTTTGGCAGGTGAAGAGCCTCCTTCCAATAGGGACCCACTGAGGATTTCGTAGCACATCTGGATGTCTCAGTGCAAAGTTGCAGTGCAGGGAAGGTAGACGGGGACCCAGCGCCTCCGTGTGTGTCACAGTAGAACTGCAGCATCGGGTTTCCAGTGGCTGTTTTTTTTCAGAAGTAGGTCACCAGATGTTTCTTCAGAGGCACCTCTGGGTGACCTACGACCTGTCAGTCAGCAGCTGAGAGCAGCAACTGCTCCCATCACCCAGGGACACCAGCTGTTCTGTACCTCGTTTTCTCTCAATTCAACGATGGGATGGAATCCACTCAGAAATGTTCCTATGTGGGTCTGTCTTCTAAAGTATATTGTCATGGGCCTCTGTAGCAAAAGCCTTTTTAAAAATAATTTCTAAGCGATCCAGTAAAATAAAACAGACCTCTTCACATGGCAAAAATAAAATGGCAGAAAATCTTTTATTCCAAAAGAAATTTTTCAAAGATGTTTTTCAAGGAAAAGACAAGTCACATTATTAAACCCAATGTTTTTTCACAATTTCTGACTCATTCTCCTAGGCTTGGTTCTCCCGCCAGGCTTTTGAGGGAAGTGCTCAAAGCCCTCAGCCCACAAGGCTCTGGCCTCCATCTCCTTCCTGTGGGAGCTTCTCAACTTTTCCAAGCAGCCAGCGAAGCTGTTTACAAGGCTGCTGAGAGGCGAGGGGGCCCCAGGCTGGTGCCTGTCCAGGGCTGTGTGGCGGCTTGCTGCGGCAGCCGTCCAGGAATAGCAGGGGGTGGGGTGGCTGCGGAGGGCAACCTTAGACGGCCCAATGCAAACAAGCTATGGTTGTGACCAGGAGGGCTGCCGAGGCCCCCCGAGGCCACCTCTGTGATCAAACACAGGTGTGAGCACGCAGTTTTCCAGTCTGGTTTCCAAGGTCACGACACCAGAAGTCATCCATCACATGTGGCCTGGTGAGCTGACATGTACAGACCGCCCCCACCGGCCCCCGCCAGGCTGGGACCCTCCCTCCTCAGGAGCATTGGGCTGGATTCAGCAGGACTTCCCGAAGAGAGAGGACCCATCGCAGAGACTGCTAGCATGTACCAGGGGCTACAGGAGAGGGATATGACTCAGACGAAGGACTTGGCCAGAGTCACCATGTGATCCACACCACACGCCATGTCCACGGGCTCCCCAGGCATCGTCACCTGCAAAACAAGAGCCACCACACTCAGTGAGCAGGAGTCAGACCACCTGACTCTGCCCTCACTTAGCCCCTTGGAGCCTTAGTGCCCACCCTGAGGTCCTGGAAGACAGGAGATGGGACCACCAGCCCAGTCTAGGACCATCCTGGGACCTCAGCACGGGTTGGCGGCTGACTCTCTCCTGAGTGTCAGCTCCAGCTCCCGACAATGGCAGGCTGTTTGCAAGCTCACATGGGCGAGTCTCAGTAAAGGTGCCAAGGGCTCTGCCGGTACCCTATGGAGATGGCCTTGTGTGCTGACAACACTTCCTCAGAGGAAGGCTCGGCTGGTGGCAACAAGGCGGGATCCTTTGGACATGACAGCTCGGGGCTGTTGGCTGGACTTTGCTTGGTCTGGATGTTCAGGGTCCTGGCTTTGTGGGACACACTAGCCAGTTCATTGGCCTAATAATGTGTTTGATGCTTCCATTCTACCTCCTGATTTCCTAATTTGCTACACAGTGCCCGGGGTCTTACAAGCTTACAAGAAGCCATACAAGGCACAATCATTCGCCTGGAGCAACAGAGGGAGGAGAGTCAGGAACAGAAGGTCGTGGTTGTTTACTGCCACCAAGATGGCTCCGATGCATAGCGACTATTTATAGGGCTTCCAAGATGCAGCTGGTAGGTATGAACCTTGCAGTCCAGTACTTATCCTATAGCGCCACACCAGGACTCCAAGGACTAGGAGGAAGACATGGAATCTATGGCTAACTGCCTCCATTGAACAACTGCCTCCTTTTCCTGGAGTCCAGAACTGGATGGTGCCCAGCAGAACATTATCCAACATTTCAATCCAAGATTCATCCAAGAATATTGACCAAAAGGGGGGCATGAAGCAGGGAATTTCAAATTCTCATAGACTCCTGACTTTGTGGTGTCATGGAGGCTGGATGAACCCCTGAAACTACTGTCCTCAAATAAAACCTTAAACCCAAAGGTTCTCCTGAGGTCATCTTAAAATCACACATTAGCTTAACTAGGGAAGAATGTCTGTCCAGCGCACTATACTCCTTTAGGGTCTATCTAGATGGGGTCATGGAGGCCTGGGCTGGGGCTGCAGAATAATGCGCTGGACCGCAAGGTCAGTTTGAACCATCAGGTCAGTGGTTCAAACTCACCAGCCACTCCTTGGAAACCCTATACAGGGTCGCTATGAGTCAGAAGTGACTCACAGCACTTAACAACAAGATGGTATCAAATTGACCACAGCAACTTGAAAGATGAGACAGGACACTTTAGAGGCAGTGACTTCACATTCATGGAGGAGGGACACTAAGGAAAGGAGGGTGAGAATGGTTCTCACAGGATGGAATCTGCTGAAATCAAACTGACTACATCTGTGGAAAGAGATGATGGAAAAGCTCCCTATCACCAGCCCAAACAAGGCCAAGGGCCGACTGTGGAACAGACCACCAATCACCCATAGTGCAAGTTTAGGCTGAAGCTGAAGAAAATGAAAACAAGTCCACAGGTGCCTAAATATGAACTTGAACATATCCCACCTGAATTTAGGGATCATCTCAATTACAGTTTTGATGTCACTAATGACAGAAAATCAAGAGTTGTGGGATGACATCAAGAACATCATACAGGAATGCAGCAAAAAGTCATTAAGTATCGGGGTCCGAGACCTGCTCAGACCACTGCGTGGGTTTCCTGAAGGAGAGGCGAGGATTAACGAACAGGCAAGGGACACAAGCTGATGGCAAGTGACAAAGTTTATTTCAAATCTGCAAGTCATTACTGTTTTGCATAGTTACAAGTCTGTCCTTTACTGTGAATCAGGTGACCTTGGGAAAGCTACCTTCCCTGCTGTGTTGATAAGCAGACTTTGTCTGGTTAGACCCAGACTTAAAGTTTTATGAGCCCTGTAAGTCTTATGGTCCCCAACAATTAAGAAGACAAGAAAGAAAGAAAAGACCAAAATGGATGTCAGAAGAGACTCTGAAACTTGCTCTCCAGCATAGAAATGCTTAAAGCAAATGGAAGAAATGAGGCGGTAAAGGAGCTGAACAGAAACTTCAAAGGCCAGCTCGTGAAGACAAAATCCAGTATTATAATGAAATGTGCAAAGACCTGCAGTTAGGAGACCAACAGAACATGCCCAGCATTTCTCAAGCTGAGGGAACTCAATTAAAATTTTAAGCTTCAACTTGCAATATTGAAAGGCAAAATATTGAAACATGGAAGGACTACAACAGTCACTATAATTAAAAGAAACAGTCGATGTTCAATCATTTCAAGAGGTAGCATATGCTCAAGAGCCAATCGTACTGAATGAAAAAGTCCAAGGTGCTCTGAAGGAATTGGCAAAGAACAAGGATCCAGAATTTGATGGAATACAAACGGATATCAAGAAACTGAGGCAGCACTGGAGGCGCTCACTCATCTCTGCCAAGAAATTTGGAAGACAGCTACCTGGCCAACTGATTGGAAGAGATCCATATTTGTGCCCATTCCAAGGTGAGGTGACCCAACAGAATGTAGAAATCATCAGACAATATCACTGGTATCTATTATCACAGGCAAGTAAAAATTTTGCTAAAGATCATTTAAAAACGGCTGCAACAGTCCATTGGCAGGGAACTAAGTGCTTGCGGTTCAAGATGGATTCACATGAGGACATGGAACTAGGGCTATATCACTGTTGGCACCAGATGGATCTTGGCTGAAAGTAAAGACTACCAGAAAGATGTCTGCCTGTGCTTTCTTGACTATGCAAAGGCTTTCGACTGTGTAGATCATGAAAGGGTACGAATAACAATGTGAAGAAGGGGTATTTCAAAACACTTAATTGTGCTCATGTGGAACCTGTACATAGACCCAATAGGCAGTAATTTGAACAGAACAAGGGGGCACTGAATGGTTTCAAATCAGGAGAAGTATGGCTCAGGGTCATAACCTTTCCCCATACTTATTCAATCTGTGTGCTGAGCAAATAATCCAAGAAGCTGAATTATCTGAAGAACATGGCATCAGGATTGGAGGAAGACTCATTAACAACCTACAATATGCAGATGATACAACCTTGCTTGCTGAAAGTGAAGAGGACTTAAAACATTTACTGATGAAGATCAACGAGCACAGCTTTGAATATGGGTTGCAACTCAATGTAAAGAAAATAAAAATCCTCACAACTGGACCAATAAATAAATAACAACAACAACAAAAAATAACACCATGATAAATGGAAAAAGATCAAAGTTATCAAAGACTTCATTTTGCTCAGATCAATCAGCAATATTCATGGAGACAGCAGTCAAGAAATCAAATGACGTATGCGTTAGGCAAATCTGCTACATAAGACATCTTTAAAGTGTTCAAAAGCAAAGATATCAGTTTGAGGACTAAGGTGTGCCTGACCCAAGCCATGGTATTTTTAATAACCTCATATGCATGTGAGAGTTAGACAGTGAATAAGGAAGACTATAGAAGAATTAATGCATTTGAGTTATGGTGTTGGAGGAGAATATTAAAAGTGCCATGGGCTCCCAGAAAAACAAGCAAATCTGTGTTGAAAGAAGTGCAGCCAGAGTGCTCCTTAGAAAACAGGATGACCAGACTTCATCTCTCATACTTCGGACATATTATCAGGAGGGCCCAGTCCCTAGAGAAGGATACCGTGCTGGGTAAAGTTGAGGGTCAGCGAAAAAGAGGAAAATGCCCAACAAGATGGACTGGCACAGTGGCTGCAGGCATGGGCTCAAGCATAGGAACGATTGGTAAGTCTGGCACAAGACTGGGCAGTGTTTCTTTCTGTTGTGCGCAGGGTCATTATGAGTGGGAACCGACTCGATGGCCCCTAACAACAACACAGGGACAATCAGGAAAAGAACAAAAATATCCAAGAGGAACAACTAACGTGTGATTAGAATTCCAGAATAGGGAGAGACCAAAACACAACCTAGAAATGACCAGATAGATAGCCATTCAAGAAGCTGAACTTCAACTAGAGCAGACTCAAAAAGGAAAACATCAAGATATATTAAAGACCAGGCAAGAATCCTGACAGGAACTCAGGAAGAATGAAAAGTTACCTACAAAGAACTAATAAGACTTTCTAAGCAGAAACCAAGCAGGCAAGAAGACAATGCGATAACAGATATAAAACTCTGATAGAAAAATATTGCCACCCAAGAATCCTATATCTAGCAAACTTGTCCATCAAATATGACAGCGAAATTAGGTCATTTTCAGATCAACAGAAATGATAAGAATATGTAAACATCAGACCAACCTTACAAAAACTACTAAAGGGAGTTTTTGGATGGAGAACCAACAATAGCAGACAACACCCTAAGACAATATCACCCATTATCACCCAATACGTGACAATATCACCCAAAACTCAACCCAGATATGGAATTATTTAAAGAAAAACATCCGTATCAAGCTGAAAATAGAGAATCAAGAGATCACGTTCCAACCACCACCAGAAAAACTAAGTAAAAAGTTACACAACTTCCAAATGAAGAGGGAACCAAGTACATTTCCAGAAAAAATTAATAAAATGAAATCTAACTGTAACCCTAAAAACTCTGAGCCCTAGCTATAACAGTGACCCTTAACACCAACCTTAGTCCTAAACCTAACCCTAACACTAAACAAAGTCTTTAGCACTGCCTACACCTAGCCACAGTCTAACTCTCCCTCCTTACCCCACCCCCTACAAGAACAGCTTCCTGTGGGGCTGCCGTGCCCAGACCCTGTCCCCCACCCCTTGTCTGCAGCAACTCCTGCAGGCGGTGGTGGGTGGTGTTTATCGAGCTTAGGAGGGGAGCCATCTGGTGCTGGCTCAAGGCCACGGGGCTCGTGGGTGGCCAGCAACCCCGAGTGCCACCCCTCCTCGCCCTCTCTAAACAGCAAAACCTGTTACAGAAATCACTAAGCAAACAAGAACTGCTGTCCCAGTGGGTCACCAACGCTGAAAGATGTCAAACATATTCTGGGCTGGCTATGGGGGCAGAAAACTCACTGGGGTCTGAGGTGAGGGCACCCAGCTCGATGCTTAGCAACCTCCTGGGGCCATTAGCGAGGGATGTGTTTACCTGTCCCAGGTGTGCTGCTTGCCCGCTCCCCACCTGCTGCCAACCAGCTGCTCTTAAGCAGCCCCTGAACTTACCCAGAACCCTTTGCCTACAGAGTCAACCACTTGACATTGGGCCTAGGAGGTCGAGGGTGGGCTCTGAGGATTCCCTCAGGGAACAGCTTCTGAACCAAGGCCAAGAGAAGGCTGCCCCTGGTCGTGGTTTATTTTTGCCCCAGTCAAGGTTAAAAGGAGTTTCTATTCTCAACCACTTTGTACTCGCAGCATTACTGCACAGGGAAACTGTTCCAAAAGCCAGGGCCACATTTAGCCTGAGTGACTCTTACCCGTTTGAGCAGAAGCAATTTGGGCCATCTCTCTCCATAGTGACATGTCCCTACGGCAAATGCCCACCTCCCTGTGCAGGGTCACTATGAGTCAGAATCCACTCCATGGTATGTAACAATAGGGAATCCCATCCAGGGGAGCTACTGCCCCCGCCCTCTCCCCAAACCCCGGCCACATGTCTCAAGCATCTATTCAGACACAAGTCCATCTGGAGTCCTGGTGTGGCATCATAGGATTGGCACTGGACTGAAAACCACAAGGACAGCAGTTCAAACCACCAGCTGCTCCTCAGAAACCCCATACAGAGTAGGAACCAGGGCACTTAACTACAAAGAGAAAGCAGGCACCGGTGGCTCTGTAGAATAAGCACAGTTAGCAGTTCAAGCCCACCAGTTCCTCACTCTGTGGGAGAACAGAGTTAAAGCCTCGGAAGCCCTCAACAGGGTCTCAACGGCAATGGGAGGAAAGCGAGAGGGCCATGCACATCCTTTGACATTCACACGACCTGCACTACTGCACTCCACACCCAGTGCACTCGGCTCCGGCCACATCAGCGTATTTCCAGGATCAGAAACTTGGCTTCAAGCACCCAACTACCCGAAACCAAGTCTGACACAAGAACCTTCCTTCCTCACAAGTCCGCGGTCTCCCTGTGAGCTGGTTCTCTAGGAGATTCCACTGGCAGGTTGTACAGCAGGGGTGGGCTGCATAGGACCCTCAAAATCATTTGCTCTGCCCCTGACAGGGGAGCCAGAGTTCCAGCCTTCACATTGTTGTTGTTGCTAAGCACTGTCAAGTTGGTTTCGATTCATAGCAACCTAGAGTAGGGTTTCCAAGGAGCGGCTGGTGAGTTTGAACCGCCGACCTTGTGGTCCTGCACTTATCCTACAGTGCCACACCAGGGAGGACTCTGCCATCACATTGTTGTTGTGAAGTGCCATCGAGTCGATCCCGACCCATAGTGACTCTGTCTAGGGTTTCCGAGGAGCGGCTGGTGAGCTTGTAGTTCAAACAGCTTTGCAGTCTGGACCATTAGTCATCACATTGTTGTTGTGAAGTGCTGTCGAGTCGGTTCCGACCCATAGCGGCCCTGTATAGGGTTTTCGTGGAGCAGCTGGTGAGCTTGAACTGCCGACCTTGCAGTTCAAACGGCTTTGCATTATGGGTGAGTCAATTAAATGTTAAGCCAAAAATAGCAGGCTAATTTTTTAAGTTGATTATTTTGCCTGGCTCATGAATGATGTTATAAATTTTGGCAGAAAGAAGGTTTCCCACCCTCTGTTGATTCTGGGAGCCAGAAGAGGCTGTAGCGGAGAAAAGGCCCAATAGGACAAATCTTACAGATGGAGTCGTGTCTCCCAAAATGTGTGCTGGCATTCTCACCCCACACCTGTGGGTGTGAGCTCATCCAATCAAGGGCCACCCACAGAATGCAGTCAAATGCACCCCATCAGCTCACTGAGGCCCCATCAGTGTGTGTGTGTGTGGGGTGTCCTAAACCCAGCCACGTCTGAGTTACAGAATGGGACACAGGTACATGTGAACACACACTACCCGAGGATAGCTGGGGACAAAGAATGTGGGGTCTGCTCAGACCTGGAGAGGGGGCTCTGATTTGGCCTTTCACCTCCAGAACGGTGAGACCACAGACACTCTGGCACTTGTGTGACAGCAGTGTCAGGGAACGGAGACACAGTCAGGACACCCTGGAGCCCCAACTTACCAAAATGCTTCGAAAAATAAACTCAGGATCTGTTTGTCAAACCCCAACTGCAGCAGCTTGCACCAGCCGCTCCTCAGGGCTATGAAACGTCTGTGGAAGACTTTCATTTCCAGTTTCCACTAACTTTTGGAAGCCTCCCCGTATATTTCTTTTGCATTTTGACAAGAGCTATTTAAACACACTTTTCTCAGCTGCAAGGCAAAGTATTAAATTCCAAACTTTAAACCAGATCTCTGCGCTCACACTGCACACACACACACACTGCACATACACACACGGGCGTGGTTCAGGAACACAACATCAGCACAGGGAACGAGAGGTGGGTGACTGCGAGAGGAACTATGCCGAAAAGCTCTCTTATCCTTGAAATGTTCTGCCACGTGCATAGATTTCATATGGTGTCAGAACAGACACCACTGAGATAATCGAGCGTCAGGAAGAAGCAGCTCCTGTTAGCTCTGCAAGGAGCCTTTTGGTCTAGTTGTACCCTTCCCCTCAGAAGCCCCTTCACTGCGGTAGAGCATGGAGGGAGCCCCCCAGATGTAGTGTCTGTATCACAATTTGTCAATCTACTTCTGGGGAGCCACCACACCAGGCCTGAAGCTTGCTGCTCTCTGATGCAGGGTACCCCAAAGTCTCTGTTCTGTCTCTCTCATGTGCGGTAATCCCATGTCTCTGCTCTGTGTCTCTGATGTGGGGGTGCCCTTGCATCTCTGCTCTGTGTCTCTAAGATGGGGTGCCCCTGTGTCTCTGTCTTGGAAGCACAGGTGCCCCCATCTCTCTGTTTTGTGTTCCCTCAGACACCCACCAACATGGTGCCGGCAGGGACAGTGGGACTGGAACACTTGGGCTCGGCCCCTCCCTACCACCTCTCACTCCAGTCTCCTCCCATGAGCACCTGGCATTAGGCCGCTCCTGTCCTTGGCCTCCAGGGCAGGTATCTGTGCCAGGTGTCATGGCACAGGATGCTGCTTTGAGCCTTGTCTTGCCCCAGCTCAGCCTTACCCTCCATGGGAAATACTGGTCCTCCAGGCGGCCGATTCCCAGACAGCCCCGAATGTTCTTGCCCCACACAAACAGTTCTCCTTTGTCTGCAAAGAAAGAGAAACAGGCTGGCCAGGGACTGTGACCAGAGTACACATCAGAAAAGTGGACGGTTCCTAAGAATATGCTTTTTAGAATAAGTACGAGCAGTCCCACAGAACTCCTGAACGTGTCCCCCGGCAAGTGTTTCTGCTCCTGCACTTGTACTAGCAGTGCCCAAGGCCTGACGCTGTGTCCACAGGGACTCCTGGCCCAAAGCCCACCCGCCCGACCCTCACCTCTACACCCTGCCCAGTGAGCTCCAACCCAACACCCCCCTCCACTGAGTCATCTCAAACCCTGGTGTAACCCCTGACTCCCTAATTTAGTAGTGCGTAAAGTAGGGCCATTTGTCATCCTTGTTTGGGGCTCGCTATCTGGGGAGCACTCGCCACAGGACACATGGTGACTGGGTGTCTATCTGTGCCAGGAGCTGGGGACAGGACAGTGACTGGCAGCCATGACCCCTGTCCTTGTGGGACTTGATCTAGTTGTGGAAATAAACAACTAAACCATTACATAAACCAAAAAAAAAAAACAAACAACCAGACTCCATGCCACCGGGGTGGTCCCAGCGCATCCTGACTCTACAGTACTGGGCAGAACCACCCTGCAGGGTCTCTGGGATTGTACATCTCTATGGAAGCCGCCTCATCTCTCCCCAGAGGAGTGGACAGTAGGCTGGAACCAGCAACCTTTTTCGTTAGTAACCCAGTGTGCCACCAGGACAACTGAACCCATACGGACAGACTCAGAAATGATGCTCAGTGTTGTGAAGGAAATGGTCAAGGGCAGGTCTCCATTAGGCTCTGGAAACACCTGCCTCCAGGAAGGGACCCGGGGTCTGGTCACAGCCCAGCCTTCATTCCCATCAGCCTGGGGCAGTGGAGCGAAGCCTTGGAGGCTCAGGCTGCTGGACCCCGACTGACCACAGCAGCAGTTCTCTGTGGTCAGCTGTCACAGCCTCTTTCTGGTCCCCACATGGCCCTCCAGCTCAGATCTTAAATGTTTAACAGAAACATATTCCATTCTCAGGCTGCCCCATAGGACACCGGGCACCCTGACACCCCTCCACAGAGGGGGCAGTAAGCGGCACTTAGAGGCCAGCTGGTGGGTCTGGGGCGGGGAAGGAACCTAGGCAGGCGTGTCCTTTAGTATGAGGGAAGATAGTGACATGGCACGACAGCAGACAGAAATAAACACCCCACTCAACCAAAGACGGAGGCGGGCAATGGAGCCAGCAGCCACTCCGAGAGGGCACGAGGTGATGTTTCCATAACGAGGAATCCGTGGGCAGCTGGGCAGCTCACCTCAGTCCTACACAGCATGGAGTCCTAACCAACTCAGAGGCAGTGGGTTTGGTGTTCGGGGTGGGGGTGACTTTAATTGAATACTTTGATGATTTCCAGAGTATGTGATTTTGCAGAGTCAGCGACCGCCTCCGAACTTTCTGGAAAACAGATCTGTGACTCCCAAGATTGGTCTGTTATAACTCCTATTTGTTGTATCAAAAGAGCCTTAAAACCTTCACCAGACCTAAACACAGCTTTCGACTGGAAGCAGCTGACCCTGGCTGTGTGGTAGGGGGCTTTCGCTGCTACAGCTTGTTCCTTTCACAGAGACAAGCTGCCAGCCCACCCCCACACCCCAGAACCTGCGGAGAACTGAGCAGTAGTCAGGCCTCAGGGGCACACACAAGGACAGCCCACACTGACTGTCCAGGCCCAGATGGTCAAACACCAAAACAAATCAATTCCTTACCACGGGGCTTAACAACTTTGTAACGGCAAGAAAGTGGTTAACTGACTCAAGAACCACAAAACGAAATGAACTCCTACCATCTGACTTGGGACAGCTGAGAGCAGCAAGCTGAAGCCAGGGGATAAGAAATGTGACCGAGGAAAGCGGAGCAACTGGATACCTTCTGCCTTTGTCATTTGGCAAACGTCTCGTCTCGCAGCCTTCTCTCTGGTCAATTCTCTCTCCCCCTCACTTGGGAGCTGGCTTCCTAAAGGCATAGGCTGGTTTGGCAAACCTGCTACTTGTCATCTCTCGCTCCTGCGTCGGATCAGGGTTTGGGCTGGCCAAGGAACGGGATTACGCGCCACATATTCATTTCCTAATCACCCACGGTGCACTCGCCAAACCTCGGCTGGCTTCCTCCACCACCCGGCCTTTCTCAGAGGCCCCCTTCTCCCAACCACAATGGGCGTCCTCTCAAGAAAATCACTTAACCATGAGCCGGACCACAAACCAAAGAAGCCGAGCGCAAAACACAAAGAACTCTGGACTCACATTCTACGACCCTGAGCCAAACAGCTCGGACGAGCCACTCTCTCTGACACCAGACCACTACATGCAGGGAGAGGTGAGAGCGGCCCAGTTTGGGCCTGGAACTAAAAAGGTGACCCCTTCACCAGTGTCACTCGGGAGCTGTCCCTGCTCCATCACTTACTGGTCAGTGCAGCAAAGTGGCTGAGCCCACATCGGATGCGGGAAACCTGGATTTCTGGGCTGAACTCCGTCAATCCAAAGAGAGTAGGAGGAATCAGTTCTGGAAGGGCCGTTTCCACGAGGTTTGGTCCTTTCCCAAGAATTCCATAACCCCAGACAAAAACTTGTCCTTCTCCTACATGACAGTGAAAACAACGGTCAGACCACTCAAGCCAAGTATCGCCCACGCCCCCACCAGAAATTCCAACAGCACCACAGAAAGCCCCACCATGCCCATGGCCGTTTTTTCTCCTGGCTTGGCAGGAACACATGGAAAGATCTTCATGGAGAAGACGTTTCTCTCCTTCTCTTTCCCCGTTCTAACTCTCACTGCTGGAACTGCCCAATCTCAAGAGTGTAACCTTCCCCCACACACCCTGAGGGTCGCCTGGGTGTGAGTATAAAAGGCTTCACACTCATCAGTGGTGCCAGACGCTCTCGGATACAGTCTACGGCTCTTCTCCCATCTCCCAAATGATTCCTCGCTGGAGTGCTGGACCTGTTATGCCCAGAATTCAGGGTCCCCAAAGACCACCCAGGAGCCGTGTACCAATGCAAATACATAAGGGAAGTTTAATCAAGCTCGAGCCAGGTCTCTAACCTTAATCCGACATTTCGGAATAGGGAAAGAGCCCCGAATTCATTGTCCGCAGGGTTTTTATAGAGTTTTCAAACAGCTCAGGTTTCTCAGCTTTACAATCTTTGGATTGGTTAACAATTGGCAAACTATGAGATGTTATAGTTTAATTGGTCAGGACTGGTGGTCTTTGTTCTTAGGCTAGGGTAAAGGAAAACATCTGGCCTCTGGCCTTGAGCTGCCTGGCTATTTATACATATATCATTTTCTTGGAGCTAGAGGACGTGTTCAGGCTAATGTACAGAATGGAGATTGACCTTGTCTCTGGAGGAAACTAAAAACTGAGGCCTTGTCTATTTAAAATGCTTTCCTGAGCCTGACTAGAGTTTAGTCAAGCAGTCTCTAGGTAGGCAAAATCAGGTAAAAATCAGTTTGGTCCTTACAGACCCCGACTATATACAGGAAGGGAATTAAGTCGTTCATTCTCCACTCCAGAGCCAAGCAAGATAGTGACCAAGCTCAGTAGTTCAAACCCACTATCTGCTCCTTGGAAACCCTGTACAGGGTCACTATGAGTCGGAACCAACTCAACAGCACTTAACAGCAACAGCCCTTCCCGCACCACACCCACTTCCTGCAAATCCAATGGTCACTGACTGTCCCTGCTGTGTGGTCCACCTTCAGCTTCTCACCATTGAGTAGAGCACAGCCGGTCCCAGCGCACGCGGCCTGCTTCACCTTCCCCACGCCCGAGAAAGGTAGGCACCGGGGCACATTCACCTGCAAGAAATCCTCACAGCTAGGAAAGCAAACCACGGTGAACTTGGGGGTATTCTGATTTTAGGTACGAAGCAGATGAGACCTGGTTCAGTCACTCGCACTACCAGAAAATTCTGAAGGGCAAACACCTAACTAGGATCTGGGGACACAATGGTGGGTAAGAGAGGCCGGGTTCCTGCCCTCACAGAGTGCTAGTCTAGCGGAGAAAGCAGATGGCAACCACAAAGGACATAAGATCCCACCTGTGCTAAATGCAATGAAGGAAGGTATCGGTGTCTCTGAGAACATGGGACACGGGGAGGAAGGTTCTGGGAAGGCGCTAGCTAGGCAAGGGTTAAAGAGGAGCATTCCAAGTGGAGAAGTTGGCACGTGCAGAGTGAGGTAGGCATGCCACACTCACGGGGTGAAGAAGGTGAGAGCGGCAGGCGCAGGGGACAGGCTGGCACCAGGCACACAAGATGGGGGGGAGAGAAGGGCGTGGGCAGACCCTGAAGGCATCTGCAGGCCGAGGTCAGGGGTCCACGCAGAGGGAAGGGAGGAAGGGTCTGAAGACACCATCAGATCAGATGGACGTGGAGCCAAGACTACGGCTTCAATTCTGGATTAGAGGTTGAACAATTGGAGACAGCCAAGTGTCGATATCAGGTGGTACTTAGACATGCCTAAAAGCGTGGTGACATGCGTTTCTTTATGTGGCCTTTTACTTGGGTTCTGTGGAAAATAGAAAAAGTATTGGGGCATTCCCCCATTGAACCCTGAGGAGTGATGACAGGTATCCGGGGCCTCTGGTGAAGCTTTTGGTAAAAGTTACCTTTCTCCAGGGAAGAGACCAATGCCTGCCAGCAGAAAAAGTCAGTTACTGTGTGACCAGACGGAGCCACTGATGAGATTGGTCTGCTCATTACGGAAACAGAGTGTAACATCCACCCACTAAGGACTGAGCCACTTACCTACATAAGCACCCATCCCAAAGAGGTTGAGGGGACATCACCAGCAACAAAAGCCTGGAATGGAGTATGTCCTTTGGACTTGGGGACCCCATACTGAGACCCTCCTAGACCCTGGAGACAGAGTTGTGAGATTGCAGTGGACGCAGCAGAACCAAGAGACCAGTGTGAGATGGTGGGTGGGCTTCCTGGCCAGTGGAGTAGGGCAGCTACAGTGGGCTTGTCGACCCACTGAGCAGGAGAGCAGAGCACCTTCAGAAAGGAGGCTAGTTGGCAGAGCAGGGGGTCTCCGGGCACCTGTCAGAGGAGCTGAAGGTGCTTGCCAACCCAGGGAGTAAGAGAGCCCAAGCCCTTCAGACAGGAGGCTTGTTGGTGCAGTGAGGCACCTCTGGGTAATTAACAGTGGAGCTCAAAGAGCTGTTAACAACTGCCTGCAGAGGAGAGGGCAGAGGAGGCCAGGCCTGGGCAGGGGCCTGAGGAGATGCTGTCCTGAGTGAAGAACTGTGTCATCCTGAGTTACTTCCAAGTTCATTCTGACCCCATGTGACTTCCTGTATAAGCCACATAACTGTGAGTAACAGTTCTGTGCAGCCACAGCAACGAAGCATCGAACCTACCAGAGAAGTCGAGAGTGCCCTGGGGAGAGCGGCTGGTACCAGAAACAAGGCTGCCATCTTAGGAGACCTCCACCTCGCAGGAACCAGCTTGGTGCTGGGTCCAACACTACCACTACCCCATTAGAGAGCTCCATCAGCATCAAGAAAACACTGGAAGCCAGGGGTGTGGGGAGGGGAAGCTCTTCTAAAGTGAGAGTACAGACCAAGCCTTAGAGGGTCTTCAACACTTAAACACCTCACAGAAGAAGAGGGCCAGGAAAAGCGACCACGGAGGAAGACAGGCAACGGAAGACCAGGGACAAAAGGAAGTGTTTTCTTAAAGATGGTCAACCAACATGTCAATGTTAACGCTGCTGAGAGGTCAAGAAAGATGAGGCTCGGCAAACGTTTTCTAGGTTCGTTACTACTATTCATAGCAACACGGAAGTGACCAACAAGCCTAGAAAAAGTCACTCAGCAGATGAATATGGGTAGAAGGTAAGTGGAACGGATGGGACAATGAGTTGGTGATGAGTCAGCACACAAATGCAGCTCTTTAAAAGTCTGGTCGAGAAGTGGAAGCAAAAGAGGGTAGGCAGAGTGGAGGCTGAATGGACCAGAGATGCATATGCTTAACTCTGGGTTCTCCATTCATTCCATTCCATGGGTCTATAGCAACTGTTGTGTTATTTGTATTTCTACAAAAAAAGAAAAAAAAAAAGAAGTAGGTAGAGATAGGATTCCAGAAAAAAGATTTTCTTGAAGATAAATCCCCAAGACTAGTGGGGAGGAGTCAGCAAAGGGGCAGCGGTGGACATCATGGGAAGAAAAAGGCTCCTAAGATGGTGGGCGTGGGGCCCCGGACAGAGAGTAGAATCGGCCTCAGGAGTGTGGCCGGGGTAGGATAGACACACGTACACTGCAAGATGCATGGGGGGAAAGTATGTGTTCCCCTTTGACAGTCTGTTTTTGCTGCTAAATTCACTCTTCTTCTCGGAAGGTTAGCAGCCCCAAGAGTGAAGCAAGGCCAACCGAGCTGTCCAGCACAAGGAGACTGTTCTTTTTAAAAAAAAAAAAAAAAAAAGTTTTTATTGTGAATTGAGTGACAGTTTACATGGGGGAACATCAGTTTTACATTCATCGTTTCATTATTGATTATAATCTCCTCCAAGCATTATCATTCAACAGTATTTGCTTCTATTCCCTCTGGTTTTTTGTTTTTGATGTACACAAAAACACTCAGGAATATATAATCATTTAAATAATCAAAGGGCACATTCTGCAAGCCTGCCTCCTGGCTGCCAGCACACAGCCCTTCTCTTTCCATGAGTCTGGAGTCCTCAGCTGCTCTCTCTCTCCACGTCCTCATCTCTGTGTTCATCTCTAGTGACAACGAGACTGCCTTTTAGGAATCACTTGAGAAGAGAGACTCTCAAATGCTTCAGTGACGCACAGGAATCTTTATTTGTCATTTTCAAATGGAGACAGCCGAAAGATAAGAGGGCGACTGCATGCCTCGATGGAGACAGACGATCAAAGCTGGGCTGGTCACACATCTTTACTGGATTCTGGTCTGGCACACGCAGTGCCCTTGGCGAGTGCCCGAATCAACAGCACTGGAAACCTACCACTGTGACTGCTGCCAGACTGAGATGAAGGCCATCATCCATGGCAGTGACAGGCTGCTTCCTAGATGACATCCATGGCCCTGTGTGTGAGGGCTAGACCTAGCGACTTGCTTCAAATGAACAGGATACCAGCAAAAGTGAAGGGATGTCACTTCTGAGCTGAGAGTATAAAAACCTGCAGCTTCTGTCTCTCTGGGCTTCTCATGTGTTCACTCGGATAAAGCCGGATGCCACCTTGTGAGAGACTCAGCTGGTAAAGAACCAAGGAAAAGAGTGAAGCATCCAGCTGATATGGATAGAGATGGGCAACTCAGAAATTGGCTACTTAAAATGAGGGAGCGATAAAGGCACGAAGTGACTGGCTTATAAGGTTTCAAGAGGGAGTGTAGTTTAAGAGTGTGTAGGAGAAGAAAGAGTCCCCACTGAATAGTTTTCATCTTGTCTAGATGGGTCTGGTTAAGAGATCGGATAAGATTCTTATGATTCCATAATGAGCAATTGTTATCATGACTAATTGTGACTGTCACAATTGTAAAGGTAGAAGTTTTGTAACAAAAACAGGGGAGTGGTTAATCTAACAGTCCAGAAACAAAGGACCCTAAGATTATCAAGGGAGAAGAGCACACATGGAATGAGAGACCTTATTCAGTGAAGCAGCAACAGCAGAGATGGGGACATGGAAAGAGGGAGCAGCTGAGGACTCTAGATTCATGGGAAGTGAGGGACTAAGAGCTGGCAGCCAGGAGGTGGACTTGCAGAACATGTCCTTTGGTGGTATAAATTATTATATATGCCTGAGTGTTTAATAAAAAAAAAAGGAACCTGATTAGAGAGAAACACTGGTAACTGATGGTACATGGCGGTGATTATAATCATTGTAATGAAACAAGGTGTATGATTTGCTGAATGTAAAAGTAATGATCTGCCCTGTAAATTTTTTCTTAATCCACAATAAAAACCTTAAAAAAAAGAACCAAGGAAAGCTTGGCCAAGAATCAGTACGGAACCGAGACCCACAGCCCAACAGCCCTCAAGGGTCTGATGTGTGCCAACAAGCACCGAGTCAATCGAGCAGTGGGTCTGAACCAAGTGAGTATCAAAATGATGGCAGCCTCTGAGAGACCCCCAAGCCAGAAGACGCAGCTAACTCACACCCAGATTCCTGACTCACAGAAGCAGGGAGATAATAAATGGGTGCTGGGGTTAGTTCCCAAGCTTTGACATATCTGGAACATAGCAACAGCTAACAAGGACAGGACGCTGGCTCTGGCGGCCCCTACAGGAAGGCCAGAGGAGACTTTTTTCCTCTGGTCTGATTGTGTATGTTAATGAATCATTTAAATGACTGTGTTTTCTTCTTTGTTTGGGCTACTAGGGAGCTCAGGGCCAAATCAGCAACCACTTGCAGCAACTGAACTAGAATGCATACAACGATTATTTTTTCTCATCATTAGCTGACCTCTAATTTGCCCTTGTTCAGATTTCTGTATCTATTATTTGTCAAATCCTCCTGGATCTTGTTATGCAGGAATGTTGTGTTTTTTTAAAAAAATACTCATGCTAAAATGTTTTATGGATATCCCGAGTTTGAAACAAAAAGGGCAAGGCATTCCTGTATGCAACTGCTTACACTCCAGGGTAATGGACAATCTGTCTAGGGAGGTCAGGGTGGGCAGATGTGCCAGCAGCTTCAGACAGACTTAGCAGTCACACGGCACTACGCTCCCAGAATCCTCTCCTGTGGTGCAGCCCACTGTCCACGTGGGTAAACACTGGGCACTGTGGCAGCCATGCCATGGTTTCCCTCTGGCTGGTGTTTTGTGCCGAATAATAAATCACCTATTTTTCTGGGGAGAAAAATAAAAGCCACAGCAGAAAAGTGGATGGAGTTAGAGGTGATAGAAGCTTGGCCACTAATGATGGATTTTTGCTGTTGTTGTTTTGGGGGGAAGAAGGGGGTGATGAAAATATTCTGGAATTACATGATGGTGATGGCTGCACACTTCTGTGAATATTCGAAAAACCACTGAGTTGTACACTTTAAAAGGGGCGTTTTAGAGTGTATGAATCACGCTCCCATGTAAGAATTGGCCGTGAGATGTTTGCTGCTAAAGCTGGGTGATGAGTACAGTTCTCTCTGTAGTTGAAGTTTTCCTTAATAAAAGGCTAACCATCCCTCTGTACGGACAGCTGTTCTCTAGGTGAGGAGGAGGGGGTGGAGAGAAGACACAGGGAGGTCCTGGGACTTGGAGCGCGTTCTTCTGGTACATGTGAAGGGTATACTATGACATCAGAGATACGGGTGAAACAGTCTCCTACCTCTTTTTGGAACAAGACGGGGCATACCAATGTACTTAAATACTGCTTCACACTGGAACTAGCTCCTCTCAGGACTGCTAATGATGCCCTGTGAACCTAAGCTCTCTTAGGTCCCCCCGAGACCACCGAGAACCCAACACGTGAGGAGCAGTCTTCCAGATCGCCTCACTCTGGGGGGAAGAGCTTCTTATCCATACACATCCTCACCACTCCCCACTGCCGGGTTCCCCAGCCCATGACGCAGGGCACCACGTACCTGTGTGGACTCAGTGACGGAAGCCAGCTGCAGGTACTCAGAGTTTCCCCAGCCGAAGATGGCGCCGTCTGCAGACACGGCCAGGCAACAATCCCCATAGGTGGTCACCTGGACAACGTTCACTCCGGCGAGGTCTCCACCTAGCTTGGTGGGCACGCTGCTGATGTTATAGTGACCCAGACCTGCACAATGGAAAACACTGTCAACGTGATTTCATCTTTCAGCAAACACCAGCACAGCCTAGGTGCCAAGCGCCATTTTCAGCACCCTAGAAAGAGTGACTATGAACTTGGGGCTGGTTCTTCTTTATGCTCATACAATGAATGTCCTCCTGCCTCTTCCCTCATGGGGAAAAAAAAGGGAGAATTTGTGACTGGCCAAGTTTTTAAATCCTTGGAATTCATAACAACCCCTACATAGGATTTCTGAGGTTCTCAATCTATGCGGGAGCAGAAAGCCTCATCTTTCTCCCCTGGAGCAGGTGGTAGGTTCGAACCATGGACCTTGTTGTTGATCACATGGAGCCACTGCGCTCCCAGCGAACCTGTTAGAGCCTGCCTAACTGACAACAGGCAATTTTTAATGCTTGGGGGGGCTTGCTAGAAAATAAAAGACAGTCCTAAAAGCCTACACCAAACCTCGATCCTACTCCGCTACTCCCCCCGCAAAAAATAACAGAAAGTGATTTAGAGAGAGTAGTGTGAGGAAGTTGAAGGTCACACCCAAGGGCAGATGGCAGTATCAACGCTGCTTTGAGGCCACTCTCTGCACACCAAGCCTTAGACTCCTGCTTGAAGCCCGGGTTTCTCAGACAGGGTCAAACCTCTTAGCAACAGGCAAAATCCAACATCCCCTCTGGAGTTAAAAACGGCAAATGTAGGCCTTTGAGTTTCCACACAGTTCTCTAAAACATGAGCTCACAATCAAAAATTACCAAACACACGAGGAAAAAAGTGAGAATCCACCGAACCAACAACTTCAGCCGCTGGAAGTATGATACACCAACTAAAAAAAGGATTCCTGTATGCACAACTAAAGCAGGAACAAGAGATTACCAAAATGGTCAGGCAGACTGAAAACATTTAGAAATAAAAACTACCACTGGGAAATGGTACTTACAATGCTACAACTGGTAAAATATACATGTATAAAATCAACACAGAATTCCCAAAACTCAATTTAAAAAAGACAAACCCACAGGCACAGACACTACATATTTTCAGACTGACCAATAAACATAAAAAGATGGTCCTTCTCAGTAGTAATTTGAGAAATTACAAATTAAAACCATGAGATGCTATTTCACACCCACCAGACAGGTAAAACTTTTTAAGCGGACAATATACCAAGCCATAGACAGGAGATGGCTGCCATGAGGGTCACTTGCTACAACTACTTTGGAAAATAATAATTGGAATATACATGCATATCCCTTGTTGTTGTTAGCTGCAACTCAAAGGACACATCAGAACAAAACACTGCCCGATCCTACACCATCCTTGCGGATCTTCCTCCTTTTTGCTGACACCTCCACTTTACCAAACATGATTTCCTTCTCCAGGGACTCCTTCCTCCTGACGATCCGTCCAAAGTATGAGAGACAAAGTCTGGCCATTCTTGCTTCTGAGGAGCATTCTAGAGCACCATGCTCACAAGGATGACCTCTAAGCCGACTGGTCCTGCCCCTGTGTCAACCCACTGGGACTTCCTCTTTTTCACTGTCCATCTACTTTACCAACGAAATTGGTCCCTCCTGATAATGTGTTCAAAGTACGTGAGCCCGAGTCTCATCGCCATCCTTCCTTCAGGTACTTTGAAAATTCTTCTTCAACATCGTAATGCAAATGTATCTATTCTTTTATGGTCTTCCTTATTCACTAACTTTCACATGCATATGAGGTGACTAAAAATACCTGGCTTGGGTCAGGTGCACCTTAGTCCTCAAAGTGACATCTTTGCTCTTGAAGACTTTGAACAGTTTTTTTTTTTTTTTTTATGTTTTATTGTGAATTATGTGATAGTCTACATGGGAGAACATTAGTTTTAAATTCATTCTATCGTACATCGTTTCATTGCCATGGTTACAATCCCCTCCATGCATCATCAACCAACCTGCAACTCTGTAAGCCTGCCCCCCACACCCTCCCAGTCTTCAGCACACAGCCCCTCTCCCTCTCTGGATCTAAAGTCCCTAGCCGCTCCATCGCTCCACGTCATCGTCTCTGCCTCCATCTCAGGCATCACTGCTTCTCTGGGTAGGGTCCCGCTCTCCGCTCTTCTCCACTGATGGTCCTAGGGACCTCTGCTCCTAGACTGGAAAGTTAATCACTCCCCTCCTTGTTATAAAACGTCTACCTTTACATCGCCAACCCTCACAATCACTCCTGATAACAATTATTCACTATTGTATCACAAGGGACTCATCTGCATTTCATTTCATCAGCCCCGCCTAGTCAGATTGGATATTACTCACTGGAGATTCTACCTTCCTCCAGGCCCTCTGGATCTAGGTTCCCTCTTGAAAGCTTGTAAGCCAGTCACTTCTTGCCTTTGTAGCCCCGCCCCTGTCACATTTTGGGTAGCCATTTAAACAGATCTTTTGCAGAAGATTTACCCAATGCAGTATGCTATTTGATTTCTTGACTGCTGCTTCCATGAGCACTGATTGTGGATCCAAGCAAAATGAAGTCTTTGACCACTTCAATCTTTTCCCCATTAGGATATTTATTGAATATCCTATATCCAAGCAATTCCATTCTGGGACTCTTCATTAGGGAAACTCTCGAACATGTGTATGTAAATACATACCGGTGGACATATACAGATGGTCCCTGCTTGTATAGCAAAACCTTGTTGACCATTTAAATGTCTATCAACAGAAAAACGGATAAACCTTGCAGTGTCATGATGGAGTATCACATGCTCACAGATGTAAATATGAGTGAACATACATGATACATACAACATAGATGAATCTGAAGAAACATAACATTGAGTTTAAAGCAAGTCACAGAAGACTACATGTAATCTAGCTGTTAGGTGCTATCAGGATGGCTCCGACTCATAGTGACCTTGTGCATAACAGAACAAGACAGGCTCAATCCTGCACCATGCTCACAAGGATGACCTCTATGCCGACTGGTCCTGTCCCTGTGTCAACCCACTGGGACTTCCTCTTTTTCACTGTCCATCTACTTTACCAACGAAATTGGTCCCTCCTGATAATGTGTTCAAAGTACGTGAGCCCGAGTCTCATCGCCATCCTTCCTTCTAAGGAGTATTCTGGCTGCACCTCTGGCAAAACACATGTGTGTATTCTTCTGGGAGTCCATGGGACTTTCAATAGTCTTTGCCAATATCATAATTCAAATGCATCAATTCTTCCCCAGTGTTCCTTACTGGATTAAAAATGTGATTGGTTCTGATACACCTTAATCTTCAAAGTGACAGCTTTGCTCTTTAACATTCTAAAGGGAATTTTTGCAGATTTACTCAGTGCAAATACGTCGTTTGATTTCTTGATTGCTGCTCCCGTAAGCACTGATTGTGGAGTCAATGAAAATAAAATCCTTAACAACTTACGTCTTTTCTCCATTTATCATGATGTTATTTACTAGTTCAGTTTTGAGGATTTCTGTTTTCTTTACACTGAGTTGTAAACCCTAGTGAAAGCTATATTCTTTGATCTTCAATAGTAAGTGTTTCAACAGGCTGAGGTTTTTGTGGTCCATCTGTCCTTTGGACTAATTCATTCTTTGAGATTTTTGTGTTCATTTTTCTTTGCTCTGGCCATAATTTATTTTTATGCATCTTTTACACAGGTCAAATATTAATTCTTTGGCTGTGGAGCTGCTTTGGACTCAGAGTAGCCCTGTAACAGAGAGTAGAGCTGCCCTGAAGGATTTCCAAGACTGCAAATCTTAACCGAAGCAGAATGCCTCATCTTTCTCCGGTGGAGTGGCTGGTGGGTTTAAACTACTGACCTACCGCTTAGCAGGTGAGCACTTTAACTACTGCGTCACCAAATATTAAGGCTGAAAAAGGGTTTTAAGTGAGTCATTGAAAATGTTGCCAGGTCATATGTAATAGAAAGGCACAGGATGCTGAGATAGAAGCTGCCAGGGGAGCCTTCAGTGAGGAGAGAACACCCAAGCCAAGGAAAAGCAGAGGGAGGAAGAGCATAAGGACTAAGGGAAGGGCATGTGTAAAGGTCCTGTGCACGAAGAACGGTGATGTGCCCAGCAACTGACTGGAGGAGGGGAAGGTCTTAGAGGGCACAGAGACAAGGGCAGTGATGCCAGCAGAGACACAAGGAGTGAGAAATAAGTTTCTGCAATGACGCCCGAGAAACTGCTCACTGAGGCTCTCCTCAGCCAGTGGGACATTCACTTTCCACCGAAGCCTTTCAGAGCTCTCAGAACTATCAGCATCTTTTATACATGATTAAAACCTGAACAAAAATTGTTTTAAACTACCTCCACCGATATTTTAAAATAAAGAGAAGCTTCAAACCTCTACTTATGGCTGAAATGCCCATGTTTATTTACATCTGGCAGACATTGTTAATGAGCACGCTCACATTGCTATGAAGTCCTGGTGCGGTGCTGTAGAGCAAGCACTGGACTACAAGGCTGGCGGTTCAAGCCCTACACAGGATTGCTATGAGCCACCACCGACTAGACTGCAGTCCACAACAACAACACTGCTATGACTCGTGGCTTCTCTACATTGCTAAGGTGGCAAAGCAATTGGAAATCAGTTAGTGGTACATTCTAAGAACAATACAAACATTCAATCCTTTGACCCATTCCTGGGAATTTAGCCTAGGGAAATGATCTCAATGAGAGAAAAAGATGCATATGCAAAAACATAGGACCAATGTAGGGTCTCCAGGCCTCCAAAAAACAAAAAAATACAAGCCTCCTGATTGCGGGGGAACTTATGGTACATTAACTTAATGCCAAATCACACAAATATGAAAAGCTATTTCTGAAAATTGCAGCCACATGAGAAAGCATTTTCTGTAAGCTTAAATGATAGAGCAAGCATATAAAGCTGCACCCAGGCTATTAAGGAGCCTTAGTGGCGCTACAGGATAAGCGCTGGACTGCAACGGCAAAGTCGATGGTTCAATCCCATCTGCTGCTGCATGGGAGAAAGAGGAGGCTTCCTGTTCCTATAAAGGTTACAGCCTCCGACACCCTAGACAGGGTTTGACCTGATGGCAGTGGGGCTGCAGCCATAGAAAGAGGTAAACAAAGCAGCAGGGCTGGCAGAGAACACAGGACAAGGAACAAAGGCAATGTGACGTGGTGGTGGGATTATGAAGATGCTTTTCTAAACCCTCAGGTCACACTTACAGGCCTGCCCTTCAGTCAGGTAAACATCAAAACTGTAATAACGCCCCTCACTCCACCCTCCTTAGCCACATGCTTCTCAAGTCAGCTCCTTTCAGGCTGTGTAGGACCAAAGAGGAGAATCCATTTCGTATATAAGCTTTAGCACGTCCTCTAGCTCCAAGAAAATAATATATAGCCAGGTAGCTCAAGACCAGAGGCCAGATGTTTTCCTTTACCCTAGCCTAAGAACAAAGACCACCAGTCCTGACCAATTAAACTGTAACATCTCATAGTTTGCCAATTGTTAACCAATCCAAAGATTGTAAAGCTGAGAAACCTGAGCTGTTTAAAAACTCTATAAAAACCCTGCAGACAAAAGGTTCAGCGCTTTCCCTATTCCGCTCAATCAGATAAGGTTAGAGACCTGGCTCGAGCTTGAATAAACAACCCTTATGTATTTACATCGGTGCATGGCTCCTGGGTGGTCTTTGGGGACCCTGAACTCTGGGCATAACAGCTGCATTTGTATCTTCTCTGAAAGGCCCAGTTTTCTGTCAGCTGAGAGAAAGGATCGGAATTCCTTTGTGAAGTTAGTATCTCATTTCCAAGGGAGCAAGGGTGAGGCCGGGCTGGAACCCTGGGAAGTGACTATGGGCACTAAGAACCAAATGCAGAAAGGTGGGACCTAACCCGTAAAGGCCTGCAGCCCACAGCCACGTGACTCACACAAAGCCAAACAGGTGACAGTCCCTCACCTGTCTGCCCATCCGCGCCCCAGCCACAAGAATAGACTTCTCCTTTATCTGTGAGGAACAGACTGTGGTCCTGACCGCAGGCAACCTGCCGGGTGAACAGCAGTGAGAAAAAACTGAGAATCCATGTCCCGGTCAGTGGGTCCCACAGACCACGGACATCGATTTAGGCACCCCAGAAACTGAGCCTGGGCAGGGAAGGTAAGGTCCAAGATGTTGCCCGGCACCACCTCCTCATCTTACTCTTCCTCCAGCCGCCCCAGCTTAGCTTCCATCGTCCACCCACGGAAACCGCCCTGGCTACAGTGCCCGGTGTACACCCATTGAAACCACCCTGGCTACAGTGCCCGGTGTCCACCCATTGAAACCGCCCTGGCTACAGTGCCCAGTGTCCACCCATTGAAACCGCCCTGGCTACAGTGCCTGGTGTCCACCCATTGAACCGCCTTGGCTACAGTGCCCGGTGTCCACCCATTGAAACCGCCCTGGCTATAGTGCCCAGTGTCCACCCATTGACACTGCCCTTGCTACAGCGCCCGGTGTGCCAAGGAGGAAATCCAAGAGCTCCCCATCCCACTCCACCTCTGACAAACCACACACCTTTCTTGACCCCAGGTCTCTAGTCTACCTCTCTACCTGCCTCTTACCCCTTCAGTGTTAAAATTCTTCTCCAAAGTTCTGTCTCTATCCTCCCATCCTTCAAGGCTGCCCCCACCCCAAGGCTGTACCTGCCCCTCTGCACTGTTCTCTGCAGACCTCGTTCCTAGCATGCCTTTACTGCACACCATTGTGCAGGGAGCCGTGTGAAGTGGTCAGCACACACGGCAACCTCATGAATCTGCTCATTTGCCCGAGTTAAAAGCAGGAGCAGGGAGTGTGGACCATACACAGAGCACTGGGAAGCCTGAGGAAGACGCGCCACACTCTGTGACCACAGGTTTGCCTACTGACGTCTCACTCGGATCCTCCTAGCTCACTCCCTGCCCATCTATCAAGCCTGCATCCGATCCGTTCTTCTCTGATACATCTCTCCACCAGCCCCTTCTCCATGACTCCCAACTAGCCTTCATCCTTCCCACCAATGCCCCACATGCTGGCCAAGGTTAGCTCTCTGATCAGATCATGAAGTGGTGGTCACTGGCCCTGCTTAGAACCTCTGACAGCCCCCGACTGTCTAGAAGATGAAGGCTAACCTCCAGCTCCTTCACACGGCATAGGAGACCCTGCACTGTCCACACTCCACCTACACTGCCCACACTCCACCTGCCGCCCTCATCCCAGCCCCGCAGCAGACCACCTGAGGCAGGTGACAGCCTCCAGGCTCAAGCCAGTCCTTCTTCCCATCATCATCTCCATATGGCTTTTCTGGCCAACAGGCAGCTTCCCCTCTGGGCGCTCCCATAGCACCTTCTGTATACAGTCGTTCATGGAATCAGCATGTACTCCAAGTTGCGGCCACATGCCAGGCATACGGGAATAAGGTGGGGACCAGAAGCTGGTCTGCAACAAACACAGCACTAATATGCTAATGGGCCTCGGCCCGTCTCTCTCCTGTGAGGGCCAGCTCCCTGAAGTCTTACTCCATTTTGTACCCCTTGTATCGTGCATGAATTCTGGTCTATCGTGTTAACTGAAATAACTGCCCCATTCAGAAACACCCCCTAGCTGGACTGCCGTGGCCCCACCCACCTATCAAGATTCGGCATCCCCTGGTTGGGGGTGGGGGGGGGGGCAGGAGAAGCGGCTCTCTTACCTGGACCACCTGTCCTTCGAAGTCCTGTAGGTGGTGGACTCTATGACTTTCACTGTGACCGGAAGCAATTTGGGGAAAAGCAGGAGACAGTAAGCACGGTGCCATCCTGGGCCCCCTACCCAGTTGGCTCTCATCCCCACTTCTCCATCCCTTGTGGCAACATGGGGAAAGTTTCCGGGTCAAACATAAACCAGAGAGTTAGGCCTGACACTGAGAGGAAGCAGAAAGAACTGCTCCACAGGGTTTCCAAGGCAGCAAGTCTTCACGGGAACAGCCAGCCTTGGCTGGTGGGTTCAAGCCACCAACGCCTAACCCACGGTGCCACCAGAGCACCTCCAACAAAATCTTTAGGTGGTTTTACAGGGCTGAGAGTGGTAGTTAGACCCACCAGTATGAGGAAGTAGAGGGAATTTTCTTGACTTATTTTAAATGAAAATCAATAGGACTGAAATGAGTTTTTAAGTTAATCAAATTGACAAAAAATTAATAATTCATTTTTAAATGCCTATTAATTCAAATATGCCCTGTCCTCATACAACTAGCTCTCGCTGCCCTCCCCTCACATCAAGCTCATGTGTGGAGCATGGCGTGAAATGAAACAACGTGGGGAACCCTGTGTTTCCTTGAGGCTCACTGGGAACCACAGAGAATGAAGGAAGTCCTCTTAGAACTCACCTGTAAACCTCATCTTCAACCACCTTCCTTCCACACTGCCCGTAGGAGTTGTTCCCCATGCTGAAGACTAAAGAACACAGACAGACAGCTGGTGAGCTCAATTCTGAAACTTCACGCAGCCCTAGAACGTCAATACTGGGAAGGTACCATAACTGCCACCCAACGTCCTTCTCTCACAGCCCTGGTCTCTGTGGCAGACCTCCCATCCTCCCATTCTGACCACTCATTCTGCCCCAAGGCCTAGTACCCCCCGAGGCAGGCCTCAGCACTCCATTCCCTGCTCATATCTACGTCCCCTCAAGCCCCCTTTGCCTCTGCCCACAGAGTACACTTCGCTAGAAAACGAAATCTGGACAATGCCTTGAAGTTGGCCTTTCCCGGAAAGCAGCCCTTTGTTTGGAAAGAGGCCATGTTCCCCAGGGGCCTGGACTCTGGAAGCCCCACGCCACGTGGGAGAAACGTTAGCACACGGTTTCTTGAGGGGAGGGCACGGCTCTGGGGCTGCAGGGCCGAGAGGTAAGGCTGCCTTCTGTGTTCTGCCACTCTTCAGTGACAAGAACCATCCAGTTCTGTGCAGTGCCCCTCCTGAGTAACCCCACAGGTGCATTCATGAGATGGATGACTCAATCAAATGGGCCCACCCCTCCATCACCCTTGGCTAGACCAGTCACCTCCTTCAGCGTCGGTCAGGATGAGAGAGTGTGCTCGGCCGCAGGACACCTGCAACACCCGTGTCTCCTGAGGTCTGTCCAGAGGTAACGGGACAGGCGAGGGCTCCAAAACATACTCATACCCCCGACCTGAAAACACACAGCGCGTCTGCTTTCTGTCTTCAAATCACATCACGTGGACTCAGGGTGGTGGCATTTCTAACGCTGAAAGGCACACTGTATGACCCCCACATTTTTATGCAAGAAGAAAAGCAAGTCAGAGATGGGAAGGCACTTCCCCAGGCCCATAGGGTAGTAGTGACAGAGCTTGAACCAGGCCCCCCGGGTCCCCACTCCACGTCCACCACACCACACCACAAACCATGCTTACACTTATATGAAAGAAATCTCCACCCGCCACTTACTGCCAGGGGAATTTGTAAAGAAAATAAAAGCATTTTCTTCTGGCAACACCCACTACTGTTTCTTTGTTGTTGTTGTTGTTAAGTGCCGTCGAGTCGGTTCCGACCCATAGTGACCCTGAACAGGGTTTCCGAGGGTGTAAATCCTTACGGGAGTAGAAAGCCTCAAAGGTATAAAACAGCATATGTGAAGCGACTTCAAAAGTGGAGAAATGGAATTATAATGGAATTTTCCCACAAACGGAATTTTCCCACAAACGGTTTGAAACCCTCTTGTAAATGACACAATCTACATGAGCATTATACAGCTGTGTGTGTGTGTGTGTATGTGTGTGTGGAGGCTCAGAGAAACAGGACACCCCAATGAGATGGACAGACACAGTGGCCGCAGCAATGGGCTCAGACGTAACAACTGTGAGGATGGCACAGGGCGGGGCAGTGTTTCGTTCTGCTGTGCCTAGGGTTGTGGAGTCGGAACCGATGCAACAGCACTTAACAGCATGTGTGTGTGTGTGTGATTATGTAT